TGACAGTGAACATGTATGTTAAGTTTAAATTTACAACTTAATTTCTGAGAAAATGAGCCTTAACAAAAAGGTTTACAAAGGTCGACACTCCAAGAGGTAAAATGCTAAAAAAGAAAGAAATCAATGTCTTTATAAAATTAATAAGGTCTGTTGAAAAAGGAAGATCTGCAAATTAAAAAGTAAGCATTTAGAGAAAGAGAAAGAAATTAAATAGAATCCAATCTGGTACACTTTTCAATCCATTCTGTGAGGAACTTAACAAATTCAACCAGCCTGAGTATTTGAGAAAGCAAGGATGGAAAAAGTCATGAACATAGTGAAATAAAGTTGAATCAAAAGATAACTCCGGGAAAAATCATTTCACACTCCGAGTGATTTTAACCCATAATGCATTTCTTCACTACATGTTCCTTTGATACGTACTATGTTCTATACTATTGGTTAATCTAGGACTAGAAGGTGTGTCTGTGAGGCCACTTGATGCCGAGTTCAACCTTGACGATCGTGTATCACTCTCTAAACTTCTCCGTCGGGCACCTAAAGGCGAGCGTTTATGTTTCGCTAAAAAAGTGTCAATATCCGACCCAGAATCCTCATCCTCTACATCACTGGAAACGAGACAAAAACAAAATGGCTTCTATACACGTAACATACAAAACACAAATAACAAAAACATATACAAACCTAGCAAAACTTTCACATTCCTAAATTTGTATGATATAAATTAAGATTCTTGCATACAGGCAGAGATAGGAGATATAATTTTACAGTTTTTCCAACTATGTGCATGGATAGTGTTGATATACTCCTGCAAACTGGTTGTAAATTGTACCCTTTGTATGACCAATATATTTCATATTTCTCATGGGTAATGATTTAAAAGAGATAACTCTCGTTTTTTATGAGATACTTATATTTTTCCAGATATGCCGTAATCCTTAATTTGAATTCTTGCGAACTGAAATCTGTGTGTTGATTCTGATTAGTCGACACTTTCAAAAGAAGTTTGAAATCAACCAGCAAATTCTTTGAATTGTTCCTAAATCACTGATTAAGAAATCTGATAAATCGCAGATTTGCAAAAAGAATGCACAATATCATATAAAGAAGTTCTTAAATAATTCATAATTTTGTTGATGAATGAGACTGAATGACGATGATACTGTGTTAGCAACTACAGGATTCCAGATACATTTAGCTTGGACAAATACGATATATATAAATAACAATATATACTACCATGTGTATGTATATTTATCAAAAATGGTGACAAGAAATAAATGAATAAATGCAAGTGATTGGTAAGATAATTAATTACATGGTAAAAACTCTACAAACACATAAAACACACACTATTAGGTTAAAAAAACAACTCCATGCGATGCAAAGAAATAAATTATTAAATTTTTATTTTTAATTTAGTACTTAAATTTTTTATAGGAATTAAAATCTATTCTAAGAATCCTTAAAGGAAGCATTATTGTTCTAAAATTATAATTTACTCAGCTATACTCTAATACCTTCTTTATTTACACTATCACTTTTGCCTTCAGTTTCACTGGATAGATTGTTTTTTCAAAAATAAAACTAAAGCCTTTTGTTCATTTCATTGCAAATCAAAATTGACTTCTGATTTAAAGTTTAAAAAATTCAAATTGAGAACAAGTTTTTCATCTTGGAACAAAATTATGAACACATAAAACACATCTATAATAATTTTCAATAGCTTAATTTAAACCCTGAAAATAAAACCAGACTATAAAGTAAATTTTAAATCATTCTTAAATGACCTTGATTAAGTCAAAAAAGCTTTTCCCTTATCTTTCTATTTATAGAAACAACACAATTAATTAACCTTGACTTTAACAAGATATTTTATTATATTGACGTTATGACACATGACCATGACCTACTTTTATGATAATTATTACTATTTTCTTAAGGTGACCCCTGTAATTGATATAAATGACCTTTACCCTAGTATAGAACATGACCTTGACCTACCTATCAGAAAAGTCATCATCACTGTCAAGACCTTCCTCAAGGGCTGCTTGAAGGTCAGCTATTCTCTTGAAGGCAAGTTTGAGGTCAGACTGGTTTTGCTCGAAATCACCCTCCAATTCTGCTACCTTGTTTTCCTGAAAAATATATACATATTCAATGTTATAATCACACTGAAAAATATATACATATTCAATATTATAATCACTTAAACCCAGGATGTAGCTTCCATGACCCAATCCACATGAAACATAACCAAAGGGAAGAAGTTGTAAAGAATCACCAAGCCAAATATCCAAAATGATTCAAGTCAATAAACAAAAGTGCTTTGTAAAATGGTAAGTACGTTTAAAGCTGCATGCCTCCAGATGAGCAAATATTTCAATAAATTCAAACTTGAGAAAAATGTACTAAGATATTAGGAAAAGAGAAATATTCAAGATTCAAGTAATAATTTACAAGTTATGTGCGATTTTTCAGAATTAATAACTTTATTTCTACTGCGTCACTACTGCAGTAAGGGCTACTTTTTGCATCTTTTGTCCTCTTCATCCACTGTATGCTCTGGAGAAAGATTTTGGGAAGGATTTAAAATAACTATAAACTATAACAAAGATATCTGTCTTCCAAATATAAGTAGCCTTATCTGTAATCTAATATCTTCTATATTTCTGTCTATTAAACTTATCTTGCAGAAATATCTGAACAAGGTTTCCATTAAGTTTCAAAATTTGGAAGTCAGAGACTGCAAATTTTCTGCCATTGGATGTTACATTATATAGGTAAAGAAAGAAAACCATGACATGTTGGAAATCACAAAACAAATCAAGGAGTATATGACTCCCAAATTTCACTAATGGAAGTCTTGTTTGAAAGAAAAGTAAGTCTATTCCCTATACAGATTTCGCTAGTTCATCTTTTTACCCAAGAAATCAACTTAAGCCTTCAAGATAGCTAAGATGGAGAAAATAGGTATATACTAATTGTGTACCATAGTTCAACTCATTATAATTTACGAAATCACTCACATTTTCTTTAAATTTATGAGCCATCTCTAATTCTCTCTTTTGAACATCTGAGAACTCTTCTCTCAAATCTCGTAAGTTTCTCTGAACTTTTTTAATATTCTCTTCTGCCTGGGATTTAGCAGACGTCAATTGTTCCTTCTCTTCTGAAAATCTGTCTGCCTGCTCCTTCATTCTGTTCACTTGGACCTTCATAAACAACATGAAAAAATTGTGTTTGCGATTTGTTTCTGTCAGCAGAAAAGTTACAAACAAATACTCCAATACTTATAATTAAATTACATATGGTGTCAACATCAATATATTTTCACACCAAACAAGGAATTTTAAGACTTACAAAGACTAGAAGTAAATTAACATTTTTATTTTATTCTATAAAAATTTTATTTAACAAAATATCTCCAGCAAATCTAACTGAAATTGTCCTTCCTCTGTAAGAGTATAGCGCTCAGTCATATGTGGTAACCTTTATTTTCAAATAAATCATTTTATAGTAGTACATATGTATTTATATTGCAAAATTTAACTCATTTAATTTGAGATATTTTTTATCTATATTTAACAAAAATCCATCTACAATTTGAATTTACATAGTTATAGCAAATCTCATCATTGAAAAAAACCTTTTAAAAGTTATTTTTAGTTAAAATCATATTCACTTCAGCCAAATCGTGTTATTCAACATGTCATTGTTTATTAATCAAATCTGTGCATAAATCATTTAACAAATCTAAGTGTAAATCACAAAGTTCTACAGAATTTACATAAATTTGAGGGTCAAGGATATTTAAAATATCTGTATTTACCTCTAATCTATGTTTGTTTGTGGTCTCTAGATCAAGTCTGGCCTCTAGATCTCTTATTTTATTCTCTAATCTCTGTACAACTGTTTTATCCACACTACTCTCTTCATACGTGTGAATTCTTTCTTTCAAATCATTCACCTAAAATACATAATATATTTGTATGAAATTTAAATTAGTTTGCCCATTGTTTGTAAACAAATACGGAAATAGACAATAATTACATTCTCAAGTGATGAAGGTAAAATACAAACATGAAAGACAAAAGAAAAATATATGAAAAGCACATTTAATTTTGATGAAGTAATATCAAGTATATTGCAAATTCAAAGCATGAAAACATCCATTATACCAATATGGTAATCATTAAATCAAGCAAATGTATCATATTTCATATAAGCATTTCTACTCAATTTCATGTATCATCTTAAAATACTCCCAACTTTGGAGTTTATCTAAATCATATTATAACTCTTTCACTGCTGAATTTGAAAATCTTGGAGACAAATGAATCAACCCATGTTGCCAAGGACAAACCATGATCAGCCTGCACATACGAGGTATGTTCAAAAAGTTCGTGGATTTTTGCTGTCATTTTTTACTTGGTTCGTAAAAACACCCTTAGTGGATATGAATCGAAAGAGTGTCTTTATTTCCAAAAGTAAGATTTACTTTTATTGTTAACTTTTATTTCCTTTACGAGTTATGTGCACTTTAATAACCATGGCAACGCAACATCGGCGCACGCCGAAATTTTCATATAATGTTTAAATATAAACAAATGTTGAAACAAACTGAATGATAGTTTTATGAAGTTAAATACAAGTATTCATCTATTAATATTTAAGTGACATAAATAAGAAATTTGGCGTCGTTTGGACGTTGAATAGCTGAACAAACAGGTTTTGAGCAGCAGTGGACAGACGGGTAAGTTGGGAAGTATAAAGCCTGTTTAAAAACTAGAATTTCGCTCTTTCGGAAATATTTACCAATAAATGTGGGATACATTTTTATATTTTTATGAGGTGATTAAATTAACGAAGAACAATGAGTTGGCGAGAAAGTTTCTTGGTTTAAGGTCGCGCAAGCGATTCAAATACGGTAAATACATGCTCACAGACAGAAAGGGCGACGGATAATTTTTAGCGGCAAATTGTTGGGACGTTTGTAACGTCAATTGCAAAAGATCTACAGAAATTCAGACATTATGAAAGTTTTGCGAGATGTCCGACATGTTTAATAACTGCATCGGGTCTATGCGTTCAATTCTGACAAAACAATTTATTTTAATTAAAATAATATTTTATTTCATTCATCAGGATATATGCGTATTTACAATAAATAATTGTAGTTATTATTTGTATTACGTGTATTTACCCTGGTCCGTTTGATAATTAATGCTAGCCGGTGTTCAGTAGATTTACCGCATAGAATAATTGTCAGTTGATAAAATATTTTTTTTATCATTGATAATCATATTGTTTAAAGATCGGACGAGGGCGGTTTTTAATTGATACTATCAATCAACAATTGAATTAACTTAATAACACTGTCCGTTTAGTGTCTAAATTACTCAAAAATCCCGATAAAGAGCGGAAAGTATGCTGCACTCGGACCTTTATACGGAGAACTGAGCGAAAAGATGAACCACTTTATATCTCGGGTCATCATCACAAACAGAAATTTGGTTTTGGTATATGATCCGCAGATATTGAACACTAAACAGAGTACTTTCAGAAACAATGAGGCTGGTAAAATGTTTAATTTATATTGCGACGTCACGAACGTCATTTTGTTTCATCATCAGCGTGCGCCGGATTGTGCACCCCTTGTGATTTGTTACTGTCACAGAATTGTTATTTGTAAACATATTGGATTGATTTTTTCACTGTATATAAAGGACATATTTTCATATATGTCTCTTGTAAAATCAATTACGCAAATTAAAAGATGTGAACAGTAGAGCCGCAGTCCACGAACTTTTTGAACAGCCCTCGTACATGTCATCTGATAATAGCCTGCACTGTTTGCTATTCAGTCAGTACGTATTTTGTAAATTCCCTAAAAATGATCAATGAATTTTTCCAAATTGAAAGATGGACAAGTTCATGCAATATTTCAACATGGTAAGGATTAATAAGCATGTCCTGTATTGTATTTAAAACAGACCCTTGTTAATATAAGGTCTATAAATGTCAAAGTACTTTAATCAAGTAGCCAAAAATACATAGCCTTGTTGTATTGGTATGGGAGGCTCTAAGGACAATTTCTTATTGCCATTAGTATTTCAAACCTACCTCTGATCTAAGTTTATCTCTATCTATAGTGAGTTCTTCTATCTGAGCCAGCTGATCGTTCATTTTAATTTGATCGACCGTCTGCTGCTGTACCACTGCCTTGTATTTCTTCATAATATCTGCCATATCTTCCTCATTCTCCTCTAATTGTGACTGGATCTCTGTCTTCTCCCGTAATAATGTCATACTCCTGTTCTCAATCTGTAAACCAGTCAACAAATTAAATTATTTTTACAATTGTAACTTTATGCCTTCATGAACACAATGAAAGTAACTCCCAGGTAAACAAAAATCAGTTGAACTTAAAAACGTATATTATTTAACAAACAAATTTTTACCTCGCCATTTACAATAATAAGTCTTAAAATGATTAAATCTATCGGAAAAAAATCATTTATAAGGAAAGAGAATCACAGTTTCCCTTTTTTAAAACAACATGCATCATTGTAAAGTAAAATTCAATTACTAAGAGCTTGAAAAAAGTACTTACAACTCTTTTATTACAAGAGATGGTATTAAACACTTGTAACTTTAGATTAATTACAACATAAATGACTTACAACAAGAATATCTGAACCATTCATAAATGACCTTGAAAATGCTTTGACAAAGCTAAAAGCATTACGGTAAGGCATACAATGAGGCAAAATAAGGAAATCTATTTTTAGCCAAAAATGAGCTGTAACTTTCCTCAGGAGTAGAGGACCGTGAAAAGTACCAACAATTCAAATATCTGATGTTACTGGCAAAAGTGCTTAGAGAAATGGTAATAAAATTTGACAGCAAAATTGGCAGAAAGACAAAATGGCAACAGGAGTGTCTGTCAAAATATTCTGGTAACTTTATACCTCTTGTTTAGATTTAAAGAGTTCATCAAGTTGCTGTTGAAGATCTGCCAGCTCTAGCTCCATGGTCTTCTTTGCTTTTACAGCACTTGCTGAAGAAAATTCTAAGTCCTCTAACTGAAATATCATAGTGAATATGTTATAAGTTTTATATATTTACATGCGTTTCAAGCATTACTTTTTTGAGACAATTATGACAATACTGCAACTTTACAATTCTAACTTTGGAACTTTTTCTATGATTTGTTTGTTTTTAAGGTGCACTAACATTACAAATGTCAAATGGCGACTATCCTGCTTTACTGAAGTAGACAATGATACCTTAGGTGTTCCTCAAGGAACCACTCGAGTGGAAGCACTGACCGTGCATAAGATAGCTGGATAATATCTAATGAATGAGTCCTACATCCCTTTTGGGATTCTAATACTTTAAAGTAACCTTTTCAGGTATAGTGGTCTCTAGAACCACCTTGATCTAAATCATCTTTATTTTACTGTTTACCACTCAGATCTTACATTTTTTCAAAAATAGGAAAAATATCAAACAAATACAAGAAAAGATCTAATAATTTATTCATAATAAGTATTTTAAGTAAAACCCTTAAAGTATGTTAACATACTTGATTCCTGAGTTGTCTAACTTGTGCCTTAGAACCTTCTCCACTTCTCTGTTTATGTAACACTGCCTCAGCATCTTTGAGCAAAGCTTTTGTTTTCCGTAAATCTTTACGTAACCGCTTCTCTGCACCTAAAATCAAATAAAATACCTTAAACATAATATTGGTAAAATATAATTACATCTTTGCAAGTTTTTGTTTGAACTAAAATCACTAATTTATTTTCCTAATATCATTATTTCTTTTGATACAGGTGGCCGGGCACTCCTTGTTTCCTTTTACTTTTTTTTATTGCAAGTTTTCAGTGAAACCAACAAAATAACAACTTTACAAGTAGTGGAAGAATGGCCAACCTCCCTATCCAGAATGTTAACTATTAACTACTCAATTTCAGCTTTTTTACACTGTCATCCTCATACCATTCAAATCAGGAAAAGTCCATTATATAAACTAAGCTACAGTATATGGTAAGATGAAATAGTCTTAATGTTTTATCCTAAACCTGCTGAATTTGTGTTATGGTTTTGCCCTGCTTCAAATTTGGAACAGTCCATTCAAAAGTTTATCAAAATATAAGAATTGAGTAACCAGCAGTATATAGTCTGGTTTAACTGCACCAATGTGCATGCTAGCCTGGCTCTATACTTGTGGCAAAATTCAATCACTTTCAGTCCATGCAGGTTAAGAGGTAAAAAAGAAAGTGAGCTAGAAAACTGCAACATTTTTAGGGACTGTACAAAGTCTTTATACCATACCTTTATCTCTCTGAGCTGCCTGTCCTTGTAGATCCTGTAACCTCTGCTCGAGATCTCGGTTCTTCTGTACCATCATCTTTCTCTCCTCATATTCCTCTTCCATCTGTGATTCCATCTGTTTTAACTACAACAAACAAAAATATTTTATTTATAAATAAGAGAATAAGAAAATTACCACTCATACTACAACAAATAGAAATATTTTATCTATAAGTATGAGAATAAGGAAATTACCGATCATTGACAAGTATTGAGGAAAATCTTGTGCAATTCATTTGACTTCTAAGGTATACACTGTCTTATTGTTAAGCACTCATTGACTTCTGTTTTATTAGTAATAAAGATTTATTACATGCTTTTCGGTGGTTTATAGAAATATATCAGTGATATAAAACTGGTAATTTCACTGTTTGAAACAGTGAAATTACCACTTTGATAATTTCACTGTTTTGAATTTAAGCCCCTTACGTTGTTTCAATGAAATACCAGCGTGCACAGTACTGGGTACCAACTTAATGACGTGACGTCGTAAATGACGTCACGTTGCATTATTATTTGGCGCGCTTTTCATTTAGTATTAGATTTAATGTCTTTTTAAAACGTTTCTTTGCATGTAATAAAAAGAAAATTTGTTTAGTTTAGTGTAAGATTGAAATATATTTTACCTTGTGAACACCAAAAGTTCATATTTCACTCGTGGCTGCGCCACTCGTGAAATATACCTTTTGGTGCTCACTCGGTGAAATATATTCCGATCTTACACTGAACTAAACAAATATCCTCTATTTATGTACAAACTTTAGCTTTACCTTTTAGTGAAATTTAATAATATGTTCAGAGAAACAAATTAGTGAAACCAATATATAATGCAAACATTTTAGACTGTATATTGTAAGCTCAAAGAATATGATTTTGATCAAATTAAGTAAAGTAGATATAATTCTGAAGCAAATGTGGTTAAAAAAAGTATTAAAATGATGACCTGTCTACATTAAAAGTAAAGCTTCTGTCAAATATATCCTGCTTTAATTACAGCTATTGTAAAATCTAATGCCACGTTTCCCCCATATGTTTCACAGATAGCCAATAAACTATCACACCTTGACATTTCAACATAATTCAGAGCATTTTTGTAACCTTATTACTCTTCATATACTGTGCTTTCCCTGACTGAGAACTACGTACCTTTTTCTGTGTAGAATATCTGAGATCTTCCATCTCTTGTTCTTTCTCCTCTATATCCTTCATGTTCTGTTGTCGTAATTTCTCTAGATTCATCTCTAACCTCACCTTTGTCTGAAAACATGTTTAATCTCACAATAATGACAAACAGTTCTTTAACAAATGCACTTGTTTCATTAATTATAATCTTTTAATTCTGACTACATCATTTACAGAATCAAGTTCTTATTAAGCATTATTCCCTGCAAGCTGATGTAATTTTTCTTTTTGTACTGTACAATTAAGATGTATTTAAGCTTTATGAAGAAAGCACCTATGTCACTTATTTTGTTCTTCATCCGTACGGTCTAACCAAATAAACAAACATTTCAACGAGATCTCTTGTGCCAGAACCATTTTATCATTGAATGATAAAAAATAAAGCACATGGTATAATGAAACTCAGATATCAATTTACAACTGACAGTGGCAAAATGGTCAGAAAAGTACCTGTCAATATAACATGGTTTGCATGCTCTAATAAGCTCATTTAATCATTCTATATGTATTTTCACATATACATCACATCAAAGCTGGTTACAGACTGAAGTTTAACTCCAAAGTGATGTCAGTTTCATGTAACTAAATGAATTAAAAGTATTGAAAATATTCACTATAGCCTAAATGCAACTTATTTTAATTGATCAAACTTTTACGTACCTGTTCTAATTGTTGTATTTGCCCCGCCTGATCATCTAGCTCCTCCTCCTGATCTATCACCTTGGCTTCAAGGTCAGCCTTCGCCTTCTTCAATACTGATATGCCATGTTCATCTTTATGTCCCGCTGATGTCAGTGTGTCACCTAACTCTTTCTGTAGACGCTCGTACTTCGCGTCCTGTGACTCTACATCTCCCTTTAATCTCTATGATGATAATAATAATGATGATAATAATGATAACGATAATAGTTTTCTACCATCAATAACAATTAACATATGAAATATTTTTATAAATTATACTTAAGTAAGAATCAATTCAAACTGTCAAAAGTTGCTGTAATTCATTTTATTGTTATGCACTACAATTTTAAATAGTTTGATTTTAGCCATGATCTTTTTTGGTATAAAACAAAATAAACAAAAATTACTTTAATTAATAAAAGCGCATAATAGTTTAATGATTTGAAAAACAAGCTTCTTTAACTAAAATGTCCAATATCGAAATCAATATTTTTAGCTATGATGAAACGTTACACATTTCCCAGAAAAGTTTAAAACATTTTAGTCAATCATAGAGAACAACAATCTTATTTACCTGAACTTCCTTTTCCAGAGAATAATTATCAGCCGTCAGAGTATCTTTTTCTCGTTGAAGTTTTTCTTTCATAGTTTTCTCCTGCCGGGCCTCCTCATGAGCTTTACTTAATTCTGTATCAAACCTTCAAATACACATAATATATTCAAATTATAATAATGAAATTATCTTCATAGAATAATTAGATTTATTTTTTACTGAAAGCATTATCAAGTTACCCCTCTACTTTTTTTTAAATTGTTTATAATGGCAGGTTTGTAATACAATAAATAATTACTTTGATAGTAATTAGAATCAGAATCAATATTCTAAATATCACCAAGAATCTAGTAGCATGCTACTTAAAGTAAAAACAGCTAATTAATCTTTTGATCAATTATAGTTAACAATGTGTATTGACAAACCTTCTTTGTTTTCGTTCTAGGTCATTGTTACGAGACATTTGTTCCTCTAGATGTAATTTAGAGTCCTGCATCTCAGACATCAGTTTCTGGGACTTCTTTTTGGCCGAGGCTAGTTGACGTCTCAAGTCCTCCATATCCTCTAGGGACTCGTGCAGCTGTAAAAGAAATTTATGTATTCATGATTATAATGTTGTTTAAAAATGCAAATCAGGCAATTAGAATGTCTTTTTTTTAAAGCAAGGTCAATAATATTTGAAAAATCAGAGTTTTTGTACTGCATGTTTGGTATTAAGATATTTCAAGCATAAACAGTGGAAACAGATTTTTCTAGCTTTCGTTACATTTGGCCAAAAAGGAATATATTTTATATATATACTTTTCAGTTACAAAGAATCTCAATATAATTTCAACACTTTAAGAAACACTATATGGCATATGACAACCATGCTGGAAGTTTTCCTTTAAACATTATTTCAGTAACATACCCTAACCCAAGTAGAACCAACAACCTTCCAAAAAAACTAACACGACATGACATGATCTTCCTGACATGTAGGAATTTAAATTCCCCGTGTGAAGCAAATAGATAGTCATGAAGAGCAGGAGATCTTAACCATATGGTCATCACAACATGGTCATAACATCTTTACACTCTCTGAGATTACAATGCCCTCTCAGTCCTCCTCTACACCCATAACCAAAAAACACCATACATACTCATCATTATATCCTTTGTCAAAAAATTTCTACAGTTTTATTCCACCTACCCTTTTCTCAACAGCTTTCTTAGAATTATGCTCTTGTTCAAGTTCCTCCTCATGTTGTTGAGTCATCTTCTTCCTGGTGAATGCCAACTCCTTTCTTATCCTCTCATATCTCTCTTTGTATATATCGGCTAGTAATATATATATTTATAAGATTCATCAAAGGAAATTAAAGGTAAACTACCATCAAACCTAAATATATTTTTTATATCTTTTCCTATACAGACTGATACAAATATATTGTCATTAAAACTGATAGATGCTCCTTGAGTTCCCTAAGACAAAGCTTTAAAAACATGACCTTATTGGCAGGGAAAAGTACAAAAAAATCTGTATTTAGCCTCACTGACCTTGACCAAATAAACCAAAAATTTCACACAAGCATAAGCTTGTATAGAAGATATAATACACCAAATATCAAAGATATCAGTCAATAATTGAATTTGTTATGAAAAATGACAGGCCTGATAGAAGAATGTAAGGATTGACAAACCAGCATAAAGTATAATCTATTTATAATCTATTTGTTATATAGTAAAGTTTTAGACATTACCATCAACATCATCATCATCTAGGTCACCATCCATCGTCTCAGCTTGCCATAACCTCATCTGTGTCATCTCCATTTCAACCTTGTCATGATTACGTTTCAACGCATTATATTTCCCCTACAATATACAATTATACAATTAAACCTGTAACAGTAAAGAGTTAGACAGGAATTCACTGCAAATATATATATATATGAAAGAAAAAAAATCCAGAATTTCAACACTGCAAAAGGAAAATTTATCATGTTTATATGTTTAAGTTTAAAGAAAATGACCAATGATTATAGTGACTTAAGAAATTGCAAAACTTTAGCCAAGTGTCAAGCCAACAACAGGGCCTAGACAAAAATTACAAGGATAGCACAACCATTCTTTTTCACACTATCCTTGGGTCAAAAATCTTTCCAGATTTGAAGCTAGGAAAAACTTTGTAATAATTTCTTATGTTGTTGTAACCTAAGGTTCAGTGATTAGACAAAAGTTCCTTAAATATTTGTTTTATCCCTATTTTATAATTTTTAATCCCTATTTATTTTTAGCATAATTTAAATGAAAGCTTTGAGCTAAGTTGAACCATTGCCAGTTAAAGTATACTATCATCACTTATGAAATAAACTAAATGTTATTACCTGTACATCTTTCAGTTCCTTCTCCAATCTCATTCTCTCAGCACTTTCTGTTTCCAGCATCTCTGACGCTTGTGTAGCAGTTGTGTTCTCCTCCACCAAATCTGCTTGTAGCTCCACCACCTGTAATACATAACATGTAGAAATATTTTGATAGTGTAACAATTTAAACTATAACCAATTCTAAATTCAACACAGAGCCTGTCCTTTACATGAGTTCAGCGTACATCTACTGTATGCATCTATATTTATACATTATAAATAGCACAGTTTAAATTTGTTAATGTGATACTGATGGTATGTAATATTGATAACATGTAATATTGATAATCATAAATTCAGGGAGGGTAAAAGCTAAAAATTTCAATGAAATAAAGTCACACAACAACATGACACTTACCCGATTTTCAAGTTTATCCATCTGTTGTTTATAATCATTTCTCTCCTTTTCAATCCTGTCCAACTTTGTTTTCATCTGTTCTAGCTCAAGCTGTAGATTAGAACATTTAGAACACACATTGTCAGTTTGTCTAGTGGCACAGTTGACGCACGGTGCCTGTGTCTGACGGTATATGTAACTGTAACACTTCATACGGCTCGTCATCTTGGCGTCCTTGCAAGTTAGGTTTTTTTTTCCCAATGTCTCGATTGTTTTATTAATGTCAGCTTTACTTACACTGTCTGTCGTTTCAATGTCTGGTAAATTAGATTGTTTTGTTTTGTTTTTTAATTCTTGATATATATCCAAATACTAAGAATACTTTGTTAGTATTTTACTGTCTGATTTCTATTGTTTGTGAACGACTGTCTTTGTTATTGGCCTTTTTGAATATATGTATAAATATTCTTGGTTTTCAAGTTTTCTAGTTCCAACTTTTATTGTGTATGTATACATGTAGATATGTCTTGTTTAAGGTTTTATCATATTTGAACAAATGTCTAAAATATCATTAAGATTCTGCCAATCATTTTATCAAAATGTTTATAATTAAATATCTCTCTTCATCTTGAACATTGTGGTAAATATTGGACTGAAATTATAAAACTTGTCTTTAAAGATCACTTCTGATTCCAATATTCCCTAATGTACATTGTACATGTATTGTGAACATCTAAAATTAACAAGTATTATTAGTATACATGTATATATTACTAATTAGTCCTGTTTAATATTCGAGAACTCAACATCAGTACACATTACAATATGACTTAAATCTGAGTATTTTTTCTTTTATCAGGTGTATCTTAAATATGTTATCTTCTGATTCAGAAATTAAGGAAATAATTCAGCATATTGTTTACTTCCTATTTGATCATTTTAAACAGTTCCTCCTTTATCACTGACACCTAACATGACCCTTAACAACTGACTTTAAGGTATGCTCTGTAACTTAGTTTAACCAATATTACATGAATGATGAAATACATGAAATTCAAGTTCACCTGATAAAACAACAACAACACTGTCTAAATGAAACTTTCACTGTATAGCACAAGTTGGAAACTAAATAAATATGAGGCCTGACTTCATTTACCAAAACTAGCATACATGTATATAATAGCTTATTTTTTATGATAATATAAATGTCCAGAAGCCCTGTTAGTATAAACAAATCTCCTATCAATCCTGGAAACAACAAAAAAACATCCCTGCCATATGTCCCCAGCTATATAAACTGTTTATTTTCTACACCCCTTACACCATTTATGACACATGTTCTATCATCTGAAATATCTGAACAGATTTGTTTAAAATACTGAATATTTGACAAGATATTTGGATAAACACAGATGTGCAGACCATTACAACAAAACCAACATAGTGCGTTTGGGACCAGCATGGATCCAGACCAGCCTGCGCATCTGCGCAGTCTGATCAGAATCCATACTGTTTGCTATCAGTTTCTCTACTTGCGGATGCGCAGGCTGGTCTGGATCCATGCTGGTCGCAAACCCATTATGTTGGTTTTGTCATGACGCGGCTCATTTAGATTATTGTAACTCTTATGATGTTAACTTAGCCTATACCAATGGTTATTTTCAAGAGACTCAAGACCTAGCCTGCACAAACATGCAGGCCAAACAGAAGACATTTTTACTGGAATCAAGTTGATCATTTTAGTACAAATGTATTTAATTCACCAATTACACCCCTTGAATTAACAATGCATGATTCGAAATTAAAAGCTGGAAAAGATTCATTATATAAATTTGGCAGTGTTAAAGAGAAGTTATGTCAACACAGTTAATTCTATGTTATTTTGATAAATAGTTTATTACTGCAAAGTAACTTACAGTAATTGATAAAACAGTACCATCAGCTAATTATATATACATATGCAATTACCATGTGATCATTAAATGCTTATAAATACTTTCTCTCTGGGGAAAAAGGGCAAAAACTTCCTATAATAACTATGATAGTTTTTCTTTTTGTAAAAAGTGCACCTCATATTATCATTATAAACTATTTCGTCTATAGAATCCCATTCAATATCTACTCAATTGTACTATAAAAAACCAAACTCAGAGTATTTCATGGTCTGAAAACCATTTAAAACAACAACAACAAAATTTCAAACTAAAAACCATCATTCAATAATACTGCAGAGAACAAACTGGTGTCAATCAGTAAAATATTATGAAAAATGGATTTCCAAGGTTAGAATCCTACAATCTTTGAGCATTCCAGCACCACAAACTATGTTACCATCACTTTTTTCTTGATGTCATTCCTGATATATCTTACAAAAAAATCAACAAACAAACACTCTTAACATCAACTCTGTAGCATTCCTTTTATTGAGACAGACATTTTGTGATAAGAGAGAAATGCACGCTGCACGTGCATCTCGTGCTCTGATAATACGCAATAATATCACACATCATTTGACACTATCTTACAAACATCTGCCGATCAAATATTTCAAAAACAACTGCTATCACATAAATACAACATGCAAGGCCGTGAAATGAAAATTCTCGGTCCCATCACAATGAAAATTGTTTTCTATACTTTTTAAGTTAAGAAAGATGCTGGAGAAAAAAATACTTGTGGTGTCAGAGTAAAAGGGAATTACTGAAAAGCATCACCCAAAGTTCAAAAATCAATAATTTGTTTAAACTGACTTATGTGGTAAGAATTTATGAAGAAAAATTCTATGATCAATTACCTAAATATTACTTCTGCCCTTTTTTCTTTTTCAAAAAAGGCAAATTAAAATAATAATTTACTTCTGGCCTATTTCTAATGAAAGGTACTTCATTTTTATCTTGTCAAGTAAAGACATTATCATCTCTTTATTTCAGAAATTTTATTTTCATCACATTTCACTTTCCTTCATCTTAATCTTTTCATCTTTAATAATATATTCTCAGGGCATATTCTTTAAAAAAATCATTTTTATCACCTCATGTATCTAATACACTAAATAAACTAAAGTATAATGAAGCTACATTGTCTTTGAAACATTTTTAACACCCTTTTTTTCCATTTTATCATAATTCAGAGTAAATTTCCCATGTAATTTTCAAATTTTCTTTGACATTTTCAAGGCAATTTATTTTTTTCCAACCGTTGTTTCATACTTCTGTATACTCTACTTCATTTACTTCTTCAACCCAACCCTTCCCAGATCCCAAAATCCAAAATAACAAACAGCCAACAGAATCATATTAAAAAACCTCAAATATTTAAAGCACATTTTTTCTCCTTATTCTTAATTCATAATGATATCAAAATTTACCAGGAAAGCTGCTCTCTTACTGGTATGATTTCACCAAATGCACAACGAAAAATTCAATAACTCCACCGAAAATTCAAAAATCACTTTATCAATGAAACATTATTTTTGCAAGAAAATAATAGAATCCATTTTCTTTCTTTTATTACATACATATATCCAGTAAGTATTACAACGAAAGAGGTAAAATCATGAGTAAGTTTCCACATTGAACACTCTTGACAGAAATTATATCAGTGATTAACAGATATGGTTTTCTAGAAAGACAGTTGAATGTGTTACTCATATTTGGTTTACGTCCTCCCACTAAACAATAGGCTAAAATAATTCTGAAACTTGGTTAACATCCTATACCAGTCTATGACAATGTAAAAATATCTCTATAAGTTATAGATGACTTTTTATATTTTGTTATTATCAACTTGAGAAGACAAGTTAAGTGTTTACATTTTCTCACATTTTCGGGAACAGGTCTGTTCAGTTTGGAATTTCATTAATAGTTGCAACTTGATGTAAAATTGGGGAGGGGGGAGGGGGGAACATTCACAACATTTAATGAATTACTATAGTAATTTCAGGTATAAACTTGGGAATTTTTGTCATTGGGAACAGCTCTGATTATCTAACCTGTCTTTAAATAATGCCTCAATTAATTAACAATTAGAATTATCAGAGATTTCTTTTTTCTAACATGAATCATTTATCCAGATATATCTAGATATACAATATATAGAGGATATTGAATGAGTGTAAGTTCAATACTGAATTTATTGCACGAGTTGAATAAAATTATATTATGCGAGCCTCTGGCGAGCATAATATTATTTTATTCAACGAGTGCAATAAATTCAGTAATGAACTTACACGAATTTAATATTCTATTTATCATATACCCAAAATAAAGACCGTTTAAAGTGAAATAAAAGTCATTTTTCATTGACGCGCCTATAGTATAACGCTAACATTTAGCGCGTCTTTACACTATGTTTGTATAACGCTAATGACGTCACGTCAAAATATATGCACGGCCGTGCAATACCATTTTTACGGAGTCGCAAAATCGGCACGGGTGTGTGATAAATCTTTTTCCTGAAAGATTACTATAAATGCACATTTTTCTATTTCTTGCCTGTATTCTTCCTTAAATTTCATTTTCATTGAACAGAAACCAACTACATTTTGTTTACCCTTGACCAACTGTGTCCATTTATTTAACTGTCACCTTACTAAGGTCAGTGCAGTGAAATAATGGTAATTTAAAGGTAAAATGCTAGAATGATTTAACTAGCTATTCACCATGAAGACAATACAACAGTTTAGCAGTATGTATACATAATTAAACACCATCTTCACTTCTCGTTAAAGTTACAGCCTACATATAAGTTACAAAGGCTATGTATCAGTACTTAATGTACAAAAACTTTTTTTTATTTATTGTAAATCCCCTACGGACTAACGATTCTTATGATGTTAACTAATCTTATTCAACTTTTTTTTCTTCATTACTATAGTGCAACAATTGTTAATAAAATGTAATTTTGCTTTTGCCTTTTTTGCTTTTCTTGGTACATCATGCAAACACAGATCTTTTAAGTGAATCATTTTCTTTGTGTAAAATGCATTTCTTACTCAAAAACATCTCTACATTTTTGGGGAAATATTTCACACACAACAATAAACGGTTATTTAAACATTAACAATATCTTTCTTCAATCAAGATTTAATTACATTTTATTATATTTTGCTACCGTTTGAGGATGCAAACTAATTTTCATCTTACATAAACGTCCATTTAATTTCAAGACAACCCTTATTCCACTTTACTCGCTTTTTCAGAACTGATGCTTTTTCATGTAATAAACAGAAATTTTATTCCATACATAGAATTCACTACAATTTAATCCAACTTTTTAAGGCATTTTTCACACCAAAAAACAACACTGTATTTGAATTATTTAGCCCACCACTAAAGATATCCTTTCCCTGCCAAAGGGACAATAAATCTGTTAACCTTAGTGTCCAGTACTTGTCTTCTAAGTCATTGTATACAATAATATATAATTATTATATGTTTTTTTCATTGTCAAGGACAGTGGTCAGTCTGGTCAATTTTAACACATTAATCACAGTCCAGATAATAATTACCTGTCATTTAATGTAGATAATGATCAGTAAAGTACCTGCTGACCATCTTGTCTGTAAAACTATCACAGTATAGTTCTTATGTCATCAAAGTGTTACAAGTTACATATACCTATCAGTGTGTCAATATTTTATGTTTTTATTGTGATAAAATTATTAAAAAATTCTAAATCCTGTCTCAGAATCTTTTCAATAATACCAATCTATTTAAACAAGCCAAAACATGGTGAAAATATCATAATAAGTGTACAAATTATTAATGGAAAATAGCCTTGTATATTTTTTAAAAATCTTTATATATGGTTAAATCCAACATATCTTAAAAGACACTCACTAAATAAACATGTACATTACGTACATGAAAAAATATTAATAACCAATTATTGTTCAAACTTTTATTAAATGAGGAAATGTTTATATTCAATAACAATAAAATTTACCTCTTTTTCATGCAACTCTTCCTCGGTCCTGTGCACATTTAGTAACGGTTTGACCTTGACATACAACTTCCACCAGGCCCAGTCTCGGATCTGGTAGTGCTTGCGTACGTTCTTCTGTATACAGCTGATGGCCACGTGTTGCACCTGGAATAATATCAACACAAATTAATGCATCATTACACCTGCATTTATATCTTACATCCTTCATTGGCAGAAAAAAACTGCAGCAAGATTGAAATAGTTAAATCACATTAATTGTACAATTATCATTATCATGTTTAAAACTGGAAGCAATCATTTACACAAGAATTTCTATTAATCTGAATATAAACTAATTCTATATTGAATTACAAAGTCAATTTTTTTTTTAACTTTAAACAACTTAAAATAATACCTTGCACCAGACCCACCCCATCAAAACATGTTCTATAATAAATACTCTTGTTTATTAATTAATAAATTAATTTCGGGCATTTAAATTTCTTTGAATAACCATTTGACACATGTATTTTTTAATTCCTGGACTTAATTTATATGTAAAAGATTTTTTCCAATCAATCCAATTAACAAAGACAAAGAAGAATTAATATATTTAAGAACATACCCTTAATTTTTCTAACTTTTTCCTGGCAATATAACCCCTACAGTATGCCTGGAACGCAGTTATCCTCCCTGTCACACGATCGTCACGTGATGATTCCAGTCGGTTCAATGCACCGGCACGGAAAAACACCTGAAAACAATACAAAAGTTTGCAACCAATTAAGTACAGTTTATTAAATAATAGTGAAACTTTTTACAAGACTATGATACAAGTATAAGGCAAGGTTTGCTAAAAATATATAGTTGTTAATGCAGCACGCCTCCAGATTCAAGCTTATTTTAATGAAAATGTTGTAAGTGTATTAACAAGTTATATTGTGAAGTAACCAAAAGGAAGCAATTTACAAAAAACAACTCATAACCTATGTGAATTACCAAAATGAGATCAAAATATCCAAATATATCCTCTACTGTGTTAGTTATGCATATCTAAATCCATATTTTGTTAATTACTAAAAAGTCAACCATTACTTAAATCTTGAATCTTTTAACTTTTCCTAAAATCTTAACAAATTTATTCGCAAGTTGTTATTGTTATTGATTTTTTTTTGCTCATCTGGAGGCATGCAGCTTTTAAAATTCCTTACAAATTACAATGTTGCAAACTAAGAACAGGACATATCCATCATATAAATGAAGAGTTCATGCAACGGGTTTTTTTTCCTGAAAATATCTGCTATGAAAATTTATCTCTGTTGAAGAAGCTATATAACACATTAATTTTAATAAAATTCTATGAAGTAAATGAATAAACTTCTGACAACTTTTTCCCCAAAAATGATACTGAACTGTCTACCTTTGTTGACTAATAAATAACAAAAAATCTCAAAATAAATAATTTATAAGATTCAATAGCCATCATCTGTTACCAGAATCCTAACATCATTGCCAACATCATAAAATTCTTACATTTGATTTCTACTATATCAGTTGCCAAATTGTCTATTTTAATACCCAGCAGCAAGGTATTTACAAATATTATCAGAAGCAAAACAACTGTACATCATATATTTCTATTTTACCAAAGTAAAATTCACATGAAATAGCAGAAAAAACAAACTTATGGAGGAATAAAATACAAAACATAAATGGAAATGAAATGGTCTAACTGCAGTCATACAATGTACATGTAACAGTGGTACAGCAGGACTGGGGCAAATCTACATGCCCCTTCCCCAATAGTACTTGGGGCATCACCATAATATGGAGAGAAAATCAAAAGAAGAAAACATGTCAAACATAAAAATATTATATTGATAAATAATACTTTAGCTAAAATGTCCATTTAATAGTGATCATATAAAACATTTCATTCTAAATTTACTTTGGGGAATAAAACTTTGCAGGATTAGTACTCTATCCAACAACTATTTCTTGTCCATACCCTAACTACCGTATTGTAATGCTACTTTTGCAAAGATTTTGTAAACTATGTTTGCTTCCAGCCTAAACCCATAACTAATGTATAAAAGTAAAGGAATATAGAATAAAATATGTTTAAACCAGTTCTTTGATAAACCCAATATTATCATAATCTAGTATAAAGATGTTTGTTTGTTTGTTTTTTTTGTTTGTTTTTTTAAATAACACAAATCTAAGTTTTAATTTAGACAAAATATTTTAATGCTATCATATAAAACATCAAAAAATCCTTAAATCCTTAAATCCACAAGATAATAATAATAAACAAATAAAATTTATCAACATTACGACAACTAAAGAAAAGCAAAAACCAATGAGGGTAACAAAATGTTCACGCATATATGTATAAAGTTTCTACATTAAAGATCTTACAAGATGTCGGACATCAGATATGTATATTTGAGGAGAATGCACAAAATATTTTGTATCATGATGCTGAATCTGTAAACGAAAAAATGAATATTTCCTTTTATCAATTATCCTAAAATAATTCTATTCATTTGTCATTCCCTATTAAAATAGTATTTTTAGTTTTTCCAGATATTATTACTTTTATTAAGCAGTATATAAGTTATAAAATGTATCATTCTTCATAAATATGTGTACCAAACAAGGATTGCCTGGATTATGGAGTTTTATATTGGAAAAAAACAAAAACAAATTAAACAAGAGTTGTCCAATTATGTCCAGTTAAACACATTTGGTAATGAAAAAGTGTGTCAGTACTACAGTATATAAAGATTATGATGAAAAAGCAGACAAAAATGTTAACAAAAGAATGATATAAATCCTTAATTATATGATGATTTCAGTTTCACTTTATTCATGTTTAGATATTATCAAAACATGAATAAACTGAACCTGAAAATCTCAGTTAACCATAACAATAACCAGACTAATTAAACCATAAAAGGATGTGAGTCTTGCACTGTAAGACTAGTGTTCTTATATTTTAGTCTTTGCCTACACCAAAATACTTTTGAAGTTATTCCATACCCTCAATATAGATTTTGATTAATTTCGTACATAAATTATTTGCAGTACACTGAATTTAAAAAATTGAGCATTTCATAGTACATTGTATTGATAAGTAATTCCCACTAATTCATTTAATGTGCACTTTGTATTTAAGTTAAGTCCCAATGCAATCAATGTCAACTTTTTCTTTAATTCCAAAAGAAGCTAGAGCACATCAACAAACAAACAGAAGTATTCCTTTAACATATAGCTCTACCTTCCCATATATTATTCTCCTTTACATCAACACTTGTAAATATTTTATAAGGACAGACAGACGAAGGACATGGCCGGAGCTAGTTCTGGCTTCCAAAACTTTATAAGCCGCTTTTTAACATTTTTGTTTTTCATCAGATGCGGCATTAAAGTTTTGGATTAGACCCGTTACGAAACCTAACCAGAATAACATAAGTTGATTTATTTTTGTTTTTCACTTGCAAATACACTTGACCGATCAATTCTTGTGCATTTTACGGTAAAACAATTATTTAAATATCGTTCTATACCAATTCAAGTAATAAAATATTAATACCGTCATTAAAATTGCCTATTTTACTGTAAAATATCAATTTTCGCCGACTACAGTCGGCCATGACATTCAAGTGCCACGCGAGACCTCGTATGACGTCATTCGCGGGAACAGATTTGAATAGAGTTGTGTACTATATTTAGAACATTTTGTTGACATGATTTCGATATTTTTATTCAAGATAATGTTTTTATTTATTTTCATAATTTTTTTAGGATTTAATTATGATTTTATTGAATATAACAGTCAGCAAATAACCTTTTTCAACATCTTAAAAAAAAGTAATCTATAAAAATATTGGAGGCACATGGGTTCATAAAGGTCAATCTCGTAATCACGTGGTCAAACATTTTGACAATATGGCGGCCAAGTGCCGAAATTTTTACCTGTCGGAAACTTTTAGGTAGTTTATGTTCCTAATAAGATTTTTATTTGCCCATCCTTGGCTTATCAACAGATTATATATCGTTTTATCAAGGTATGCTTCAATTTATTTCGTGGCATGTTCGATAAATAAATACGAGCGTGTCAGATTCCTGGCACGATTATTGGTGGACTTTCCCTACGGGGTTATCTTCAGCGTTCACGTCATGTCATATATATAAACGGGTACGCTGAAGACCTTAAGCTAGGCCGGAGCTATAGACAAGGTACAATCAAATCAATCACTGATTACACAGTGTAACATTGTGTATTTTCCTGAAGTAAGTAAATTTACACAAATCATTATTCACATGAAACAAAACTAAATTTGAAACATTGGAATGGGAATGAGAAAATTATTTGAATTTTTCAAAATAGATTATCAGCGATCTTAAATTCCAAAGATATTTCTGTCATGATAAAAAAGTGTAATAACTGCAGCATTTGTTGAAAATAAAAAATCTATTTAGAAATTTATACATGTGTATAAATAAGCATTAACAGCTTCTACCCATGTGACTAGTGCAGATCAAAGTCAGCCAGTATGGATCATGGTCTGCACTGTTTACAATTCAATTGGTAATTATTTTGAATTTTTTTCCTAAAAATGAAAAACAATGCTGTTCAGATTGGTTAATTCTATTGCTATATAGACAGACTTTTGAGTCTGTTCGGACTAGAACCAACCAGTACCGAGCAATGGGTGTAATGTTTCTTGCTCCTGGAAACAGCGGCTCATCCCTGATGGGGTTTGAACCCATGCGGACAAATTGATTGATTGATTGAAAAGTTCATTTAAGAATTTAGCATGATAAAACTTAACAATGTTTATAAGAATCATTTTGAGCATATATTTCCTTTAGTTCATATTCTACAAAAAATATTGAAAATTCTTCTACTCAGACCTTATTTTTCAAAAATAAAAAAAATTGTCACTGACAAATCACTTAAACATACATTACCTACACTGAGAAGAAATTCAAATCAACTCTAAAATCCAGTAATGCTTTTTTTTTTACTCAGATCACCTCACAGAAAACTAAAACTGTTGCGCAGGTCATAAATTTTCCAGTGTTTACTTTTAGTGCAATTTTCTCTCATAAACAGAAAATCTCAACTTTTCATTCGAATAACAGATGACTAATTCACACAAAACATCTAAAATCCAAAGATTTATCTTAGATGCTGCATGCTAATTAAAGTTGAAGTGATAAAATCTTCACTGCACAACAACAAAATACAGCCATATATACATAATGTATACAACTTAAAATGAATAAATTTAATTGGTTTAAAATGTTTACAATTCAATTTGTATACAATTCAATTAAAAGGAAAGAAAATGGTTTAAGGTTCAATAGACCATAAACCAAACAGCCGAACACGTAGATTGGTGGGTGGAGGGGGGGACGGAGTCAGAACTTGCAGGGTTGGGCTCATCACATAATTCGGACTTATTACTGATAGAAACCTTAAATCATGCTCCAATATGCTTCAATATGTAATATACACCAGAAAGTTCTGCTAATCTTCAGCTAAGTTAGCTTTCTTTCATGAAAGAATCCATGATTCCTTTCATAACTAAACTTGAGCAAAGGACCGCATTGAGGGACCAGTAATTCTAACATACATGTACATCAATTAATTAATACATTTAATACATTAACAGTGTAACATATTATCACTATAACAAAGGCTTATCTAAATAGAAGCTTCAAAATTAATAGAAACAATGAATGACATGCAGTGACTGATATAGAAAATATCTCACTGATAATACAAATAAATTTTTCATTTGAGAGTATAAAATAAAAGTGCAATCTGTTGAGAGTAAATGAACTATAATACTTGACAATATTGACATTTTCACTATGAATGAAACAGATATGTAAATAATCATCCCAGTATATTCTTTAATTGAATGGCTATCATGGAATGTAACATCTTGAAATATCTCAACTGCTTGTGTTATTATGAGAAATAAATACATATAAATACATACTACAGAAAACTGCTTGTTCAATGTGATTGTCTATACCGGGTATGTGGTTTATTAAAATACAGTGAAACCCTTAAATACTGGACCTATCACCATCATAGTTCTTTTGACTGGATTTGTATCAAGCATTAATGCAACAAATTGGATCTGTTTTTCCAATTTCATTTTCAATATTCTTTGAAATCAAATAAAACTTCAAAGGAAGAATACATGCTCCAAGAAAGAATTGCTTTATATAAAATATTTAGTAACCTAAATAAAAAAATAAAGAGATTCTTTTATCTTCAGTAAAAACAAAATAAAGAAAAGCAGTTATTTTTAGTATCATGATTATACTAACAGATGTACACTCTTCAATGTTGTATCAATTAGAGGGAAAACAAATATAAACATACAACAATGCAAAAAACTATCTGTAAGTTATTGAACAAGATAAGCTGTCATATCCAAGGAAGCTGTGTAATCTATTGTAGTATATAGCAAATATTTTGTAGCTATAATATCATTCTACACACTTACATTCTAATGACAGAAAAAAAGAACAACTAATTGTTAGCAGAAGATGACTTCTTTTTTTTTCATAAAGGCCAAAATGTTTATGCTATTTGTTTCATCATCCTACAGTCCAACTTTAGTCATGATAGAAAATGGCACAAAATTCTATGAATATGTAATTGTTCTTATTCACTCTTCAGTCAAAGATCTATTCAATAAGGCAACAATAATAATGTCATTTTTACATCACCCTTTAGAATTATGTTTATGTTAAAAGCCAGTAAAAATAATTTTCCCTGTGGACAAAAAAGTCATCTGTTGTAAAAAATCCCCCACGTCCCCTGCAAAAAAAATCCCTACCCACTACTGAAATACAGGAACTTTTACTTTTTCATGATTTAATTGTCACAATATATTCCATACTGATAAAGCTATTGTTGTCAGTTCAGATAAAAATCTTGGCAATGAATTTTATAAAAGCAGACAGTTTTCTGTGAGAATTACAGAAAATGTTCAACATCTGACTACATTAATTTCCTTAACACCAACATGAACAGCTGCTGTCACTTTTACTTTACACTTAAAGCTCTAGAAAGGGGCTTCATGTATAAAATTAAAACTGAAAATTCCACTAAAATTGATAACTAGAACATATGAAGAATATATAGAATATAGAAAAAACTGTCATAATGACACATCTCTCCATTAACAAACATGCAGGAACTTTATAAATTTTTCAAATTCACAATGCTGAAGTCCTTAAAAGATTGAACATTTGAACAGTGATGGCCGTACTCTGTTCAGACATTCTATATCACCTTTCAAGAAAATTTGTGTTTTTAAAACTCAAATGGGTTGACACTAAATGATTGAAATAAAAATATTTGCATTCAAAAGTAATGAATTTCATAACAAATACTACCTTACAAATGTTTAATCATAGGACTACACTACAAAGAAAAGCAAACTAAGCAACCACCAGCTATAAAACAAAACAATTACCACACCATACTCTACAAAAGAAATACATAAAAATGCTCCACCTTACCTTACTAAGTCCGATCCTATAGTTAAGCTTGTCAATGTCAAGATTCTCCACTATTTGTATCACAGCCTGTGAAAACACAAGAAAACATGTCAAAATAAATTAAAACATTTTAAAATATCTGTTGGACTGCTGAAAGTTAAAGACATTAATCACATGTAAAATATCCAGGCAATTCCTGGGCCTTCCACTGAAACAGCAGAAATTATATATTGTATGTTACATTTGAAGAAATTGAGAAAACTGCAACTAATTTGTACTTTATGCAAGATTTTTTCATACCTTTAATTTCTAAAATCTGCCAGTTTTAATTGTTGGATGAGCATGCTGATATATTTATCAACTATTTTCATATCATAATATTAAACACCACATGGATGCATGATTTAACAAATAATAAAAATATTGAAAAAAGTTTGCTGATCTTTAGATATATTTAGACATACATATATATGAAATGATGTTCATAATATATGCAACATAGCAACTAAACATAATTTTTTTTCTCTAACACACTTTGCCTATTGTTACTCAATTTTCTGGCACAGGAACAAGATATTTTTCAGTAATGAAAATGTATATACTCATTTTTGACATCTCTTTCCCACACACATATTCACGGTAATTTCATTGTTTCTTTATTATATATAAAACAAGTCAACATAATCTGTGTCATTAAGTACCTATCTACTGCATACAAAAACCTCTACCATACTATAATATACTGTAACAAAAAATGCTCACATCAGCAAATTTTACATTGATCATTTTGTCATCATTCAATCAGCTTTATAGATTGAAAATACATATTGGCTATTTTGAAACAAAAAGCAACAAATTCAGGATATAAAAATCAACAACACAGTGAACTGTTTTTACTTATCAATCAAAATTTCAGGCTATACCTTCATAAGGATAAATATTTAAAAACCTGAACACTTTCCAAATATTAATTTTTGAAAATGAATACCGACTTTTTCAAAAGATTGAATTCAAATTTTTAAAAAAAAAATTAAATTGAAATTTTTAATTAACATGTCTTTACATTTAGATAGAACATACCTGTATCTATATCTTAATTACCAATTTAAAATAATTTGAATGTTTTAATTCATTTATTAATCAAAAAGACTACTGTAAATGTTGAATCTTCTTCAAATTTTGTCATGAATCAAAAATTGTGTTTTAATTTAATGCAATAAATGTTTTCAACAATTAAAGAATATAATAAAGCATTTTGTTACCTTTCACTTTTAATCATTATCTTAAAATTATATCCAAAATTTTTTTTAAACAAAAATTACAAACTTTTTTTTATTTTTTGTTTACAAAGCAATTTATCCTCTATTTTTCCAGTCAAACAATACTTTGTTAAATAGTTTTAAAACTAACACAGTTAATCCCTCATTATAAATTAAACAAATACACAAATCTTATACAAAATCAGGGCTATATTGTCAAAACGATTTATATATAAAATCAACAAAATTGAGACATCTGACATCAGTACTTAGATATTTATTCCCACAGGCAAAAAAAGGGGTTTAAAGTTAAAATTTCACATGACAACATTACATAATTTAAGACATAAATTTTATGTAATACTTCAAAATGTTTATAAGATTATTTGCTTCAATTACCATCATAAAAAGTGTCTTCTTATCAATAAAATCTATTAAACTGACTTGAAATTGTAAAAACCAGACTTAAACCTTTAACCTTCTTGAACTGAGAGTGATTGAAGCCTTTGCCACGAGTTTAATGCCAGGCCTGAGCCTGCTGACCAGGCTCTATTATAATGTTGGTAACTATTTTTTGCATTTTGATATTAAAACACCCTTATACTTTGAATGGACTGTTCCTAATTCAAAGAAGGGCAGATCCATAACTTTTTTGTTTGTTTGTTTGTTTGTCTCATTTTACGCCTTTTCCCAATAGTATTTCAATCATATAGGCGAGTAGTTTCCTAACCATCGTTCCTGGAGAGTTACACCAGTACTAGACTACCTTCCTCCGCGCTAAACTACCAAGCATCTCCCGGGGATCAAACCCACGCCAGAGAGGTAACTGGATTAGAAGTCATCGACTCTAACCCCTCGACCACGGAGGCAAAAGATCCATAACAATAGAGGGTTAATCAATAAACGTCTGCAGAAGCAAGAGGGTGCATTTAAGGCCAGGGTCTGCATGGTTGGGGATTTAATAAGTCCAAGGTTTTCTGCAGATGTTATTGCAAGAAAAAAGGTACATCAGCACAATTCAAGCATAAAATATTATTGTGCATTTTATAAACTGTTATTCATAAAAAGAAATCCTTTAGTCATGCTTTCCACATGTTAGATAATGTCATTTGATTGTTATTTTTGATAATAAAACTAACAAGTAATTAAATGTCATCCTCCAAAAACATGTTATTCATTATTGGTTAAAATATAAACAATGGGTACTCTTTGATTTTCTTCAGGCCAAGCGTTCAGTGTATCAAAAGGGAGCATTTTTAGGTGCAGATATGTGTATGAAAAAAAAACAACCAACACATACATAAAGTTTTAAACACAACTGCCCCTTTTTCTGTTTGAGTAGTAAGTAAGGACTTTATTTAACAAGCCTTACATCTTCAGTTTCTCGATCTTCCATGTGGGCCTCAGATTCAAATTCAATGAAAGATTTCATGTAAAGTTACTAAAATTTATAAGTTATAGTTAGTAATTTTCATCAAACAGTTGACTTGTTCCTAAGTTAAGGGGTGTTAAATAATGAAAATAAATCCTATTAAATCATTTTTTAATTATGATCACTATAGTAAGATTCCCATAATATTTTATGTAAAATGTCAAAATTTCCTCATAAAATTAAAGAGCATTTACACTTCTAATATGATTTTACAACCCATACATGGTCTAAAAAATACAGACCTTTTCTTTCTGAGTCATTTTATTCATGGGAATTGAACAAATCAGAAAGTACAGATACATTAGTCTTTATAGTTTAAGGCTCACCAAATGTTTTTATTTGTTACCAATATCATCTTTAAACATTAACATTTCAGTAAGAATTATTAGGATTACTAGGATTTTTTTTCAATCACATTCTACCAAAAAACATATAAGGTACAATAAAAAAGTAATTGCTTAACGTCCTTTTTGAATATAATGCAAAATATTAACTATTATTTTTAATCATGGTCTTAATATATAAAAGCAAGGCTTTCATGGGAACATCCACAATTTTGATGATGATTTCTTGTTGCCAACTTGTTAGATTTCTAGACAAGATAGCATTATAATGAGAAAGATTTACAATGTTTTCACGCTTTGAATTTCCGAACTAAAAAATAAAGCGAATAATAAAGGGACATAAATTTAAAACAGAAGTCGGTGCTAGAATCATAAATCACAGAAATTATCTATCGTTCATTATGTTTTTGTATTACATAATTAAGGTGCAAATTACAGGCATGTTTTATTTTATCCATGGAACTGACATAAACAGGTGCTAATTTTACAATAGGTGTAATGACAATATGTACTGACAAGGTAGCAATATAACTGAAATGCTTCACTTGCCTGTCTTATACATTGATATATAAACAAAGTGAGTAACATTTACATAATGAATGGATTACAGTTGTAGTATTTGATAATACTTAGCATCAGCAGGCATCCATGTAGAGACTTCTGTAACTGTATAGCCTCCTTAAATAAACCAGTGTACCTGGCAGGATTCTATCCCACAGTAGAAAGGAGTAAGTAATTTGAGGTAAGTGAACTTATTAATGAAACCCTCATGGTGTGTTCAAGTGAGGGAGCTAACCACTTTTGTTTAATAAAATACACAGAGGGTCATTTGAGGTATCTCTCCATCAATAAAGGCATAAAGTAACCATATGACCTTATATTGAAGTCACAAGACACAAGAGAATAGAAATAATGTAAGATACTCACCGATTTATCATTCATATCAGGGGTAGGTTTGACATTTGGTGGAACAAGACCCTCAAACTTCTGTATAAACTCTCCAAATGTAATATGATCAGGATACCCTGAAAATAGGTATTGATCAACCAAATCAGATAACATGTACATTTGTCTCTGTTGTATTTCATATAATCATTTCAGACATTTGTGTATTTTACATCGAAATTTCAGTCGTTTTCATCTTTCATACATAAACTTCAGTCATTTGCATATTTCACACATATATTTCAGTCATTTGCATATTTCACACATAAAAAGTGCAGTTATTTGCAAATTACACACATACATGTAAACTTAAGTCATTTGCATATAATATTACACATAAAAACTTCAGTCATTTGCATATTTCACATATAAACTTAAGTCATTTGCATATTACACATATAAACTTCAGTCATTTCCATATTTCACATATAAAAACTTCAGTCATCTGCATATTTCACACATATGTTTCAGTTATTTGCAAATTACACACATACATGTAAACTTAAATCATTTGCATATTACATATAAAAACATCAGTCATTTGCATATTTCACATATAAACTTAAGTCATTTGCATATTACACCTTTAAACTTCAGTCATTTGCATATTTCACATGTAAACTTCAGTCATTTGCATATTTCACACATAAGCTTCAGTCATTTGTATATTACACAAATAATCTTTAGTCATTTGCACACTACAGATCAAATCATCACTTAAAGGTGCATTTCCCATACATAATAATCCAAAATAATCCAGTACAACCTCTATACACAGATAACCTGTCTGAAGCACCCACTTTCAATAGCTTTCTTTTTACATTATAAAGTATGCACATTTACAGAGGTTGATAGTTTCCTTTCATGGTTTTATAAATCAGGTTATACTGTACTTCTTTTCCTTATCACAACAAACAGTACATGTAGCACTACTCACACTTTCACAAATATAAGAAAAAACATAAAACCGTCCTTAAAACACAGTACAACTTTTTTCAATATGATAAGAATATATAAATCTTTTCTAACAAGATTAACTATAACAAAAAATATACATTTCCCTCATTACTAACAAAATCCTGCTGTCTTAATTAGCTCATTCACATGCAGTTTTTTCTTTTACATACACTAAAAACAATACCATCATATATTTATAACAAGACATTTCCTGTAACTTTTCTTGGCATTTATGTAACAAATACCTGAATGGAAGGAAACTTTGGTATAGTAATTACTAAGATATACCTCAAACTATTAATTATTTTACATTTACCTTTGATATATCTATAATACTACAAAAACTATCATATATTTATACTGTAATATAGTCACATTATTAACATTATACTAAAAACTGTGATGGAATTTTCCTATTTTGACAAAGTTCAGCATTTTGTGACAATAAATTATTTCTAATAAGTTCCTTTCATTGTGGCGAATTTTCCAGTACTGGTAGGTTTGGTTTACTAAAATTATTGTTGCTTGTAAACTAATCTTATAGTGCGTAGTAAATTTTTCAATGGCCATCGGTTCTTACTTATACTATATAAATGCCCTACAAATTTCACACACAATAATACCATCAGATACATATACTAACACCTACTTTTCCAGTCAGTTACTAAATATAGCATAAAGAAAGACAACTCTACCTTGTCTATGAATCCTGACAGACTCCAAGATTTCATTGCCCCTGAATTGAGATCTGACTAAGGTCACATTCATAAGTATATCATCAGGTTTCTCAGGGGCCATTTCTGTTGGTCGGCTCAGTTCACACAGACCAGCATTGGCTTGAGGCAGGATACAGTGAATGAAATGGCAGTTGGTTTTCCTCAATGTCTCAATAATAGTGTCCTTAAATTATACACGATTGGTGTTAAACATTTTTATGACATTATATTTTGACATCATAGTTTGCAAAAAAATTACATCAATATTTTTACAACATTTATCTTCATATCCAGACTTTTTTTCGATTTCCTTCAAATCTCTGATAAAGGCTTTTTAAACATCTCAAAAGTATGAGGCTTCAAATTTTGTTTTTTTAACTCTTTTAAATTACGAAGTCCATCACCATTACATGTAAATTAAACCATTAATGTGGATGACAAGTTTACAAACATACCACTTGAAATTTAACTTGTAGGCACATGGACCGTTTCTTGAGACCGGCTGTGCCCGACATGAAGGTTCGTCTCATACTGCCCACCCTTCTTAGTGAAGTAGAACCTTCCATTCCTACAATGGACCCGCTCACCATTCCACCTACGGGGGCTTTAACACTGTTGAAAAGTTCCTTTATGTTGGCCCTGGAAATAATAGTATCAAAATCATACACGATCTATTTCAATATTGATAACTATTTTATTTAATTATAAAACACAACCAAATCATTATAAATTCATTGAGTCCTGCTAAATATAAAGAGTTAGTTTAAAAGATTTGGAATAGCTAGAGTATAGAAATCCGTTAGACTAAGCTGATCTGATGGTCCCGGTTGGCCTAATTCTATACTGGTCAAATAGGCAAACCATTCTCCTTGATAAAGACTCCATTCATAAAATACATATAAACATAAAATCTACCAATGATAATAATCAAATATGTCTTACTTTTTGGAGTCCTGGAGTACTTGTGTTGCTACCTTGCAGATTGGGTTTTCTCTACACACCTTTAACCATCCGCTAGCATTGTATTGTACAGGGTTCGTGCCCTGGAAATGATTTAATATAAATGTGTTCCCTAATGATGAGGCCTTCCTTAATAAACTGTCTCCTGAAATAACAAATAAAGATATTTATTAATGCTGGAAGATCAAACTTTTTGTGTTCATGAGTGCTTGATATGACATTTAGCAACCATTAAACCAAAGAGCTGACAATACCTGTAAGACCTGTATTTAAAACAGTCATGAGAAATAAATTACAGGTTACAGAACTTTTTTTTAAAGGAAAACTTACTTTTACAGGAAAACAAAAACTTATCTTTACAGAAAACTTATTTTGATAGGAAAACTTATTTTTACAGAAAAACTTACTTTTACAGGTAACTTATCTTTACCGAAAACTTATTTTTACAGAAAAACTCATTGTCACACAGTTCTACTGGACTTTAACACAGTCTTTTACAAGACTTTTACAGGAATACTGTCTTTTGCAATACTATAACAGGAAAACTGTCCTTTACAAGACTTTTGCAGAAAAACTGTCTTTTACAAGACTTTTACAGGTAAACTGTCTGTTTAAGATTTTTTTTACAGGAAAACTGTTTTTTTAAAGGTTTTTTTTACAGGAAAACTGTCTTTTTTAGGACTTTTACAGGAAAACTGTCTTTTACGAGACTTAACAAAAAAACTGTCTTTTATAGGACTTTTACATGAAAAATGTCTGTTTTTGCAGGACTTTTACAGGATCACTTACTTTTGACTTTATGTTCACCATGGTAACCAAAGAACCTGTCCATAAATGAGTCCTCTGTTGCCCCAGGGAATATTGCCTCCTCATCGAGTATCCATAGCAACCCTTTCTTCTCAGCTTCTCTTGTCTCTGGTGTTGATGTCCTCACCTATATTAACATTATCATACAAATGTCAGTATGATTAATATACAAGCTATGTCTGATTTAATAATAAGAACAGTTCATAAACCTTGGAAATATTCTAAATTGGAATAACAAAATATATACATGTATATCTGAAACAAACACAACATAGAGTAGAAACAATATAGAGAAGTTTCAACAAATTTATATAAACAAAATAAGCTTTAATCGCAGTAATCAACTGAGCCAACAAAGTTTGTTATTTAAAACCTTTATTGTTAGATTTATTTGTTGTTGGGTTTTTTCTTTTCTTTTCACTAAATGGTATTTCAACTCTAAGGTATATTTCATCTAGTTGCAGAATAATTGAAACTTGGTGGCAAACAGTCACAAATGATGTTCCTTCCCATCTCCGATTTATTTATTTTTTAAAAACTAGCTTTAAATTAGTAAAATAAAATTTGGTTCGAAAATTACCTTAATTCTACATATAATTAGGAAACACAACACTGGAGTATGAAAAATGTTTATATTAAAAACAACTTTAGATAACCTTGTTATTACTACACATAAAATAAATTTGGTTTGACTTATCCCCAAGAAATCCATTCTTTCTACCACTAAAACATGTTTTACAGTTTAAATTTAGATCAAACAATGAGAAATTGATTAACCAGGCCCATTGATAACAGTGAAAACATAAAAAAATACTACTTAATACTTTATGTAAAATGTAAAAACAGCAAAGCATTTTGTTATCATATACCAGTCAATTGTAACCTAGCCCATAAGCCCGACGGCAAGACAGGTGACAGCAGCCAGAATGAGTAGAGTTTTTATCTTCCATCTAAATGCAATATTGACCCATTTTGTTCTTTTTGGTTTAAAAAAGGCTAGGGTATGTCTAATATGTATAATGAGGGCATTTTTTGCGGATTATATCAACATACTGTCCCTGAAGGTCGGGACATGATACCAGGGGTTTGAGTCCAAGTCCCTGATATTGTAAAGGAGCTGAGAGTGGTTACAATCAACTGGTGCATGAATGTGATATATTTCTAAAATAGTAAAGACTTAAGCTTATGGTCATGTCCAATTATAAACAGACAATACCTGTTTGTGTATTAACTGCATGGTTGAAATATAAATAAGAGCATTTTGACTCAAGTTTATAAAATGTACATGTAAAATGATGTTTAGCCTATGTTAAAACTGTGGAGTGCTTAGCTTTAATGGTGTGGGGAAAATGCCAAAATGAAAAGCCAGGGAAAGTGCAATCAAAGCAAGGGAAATTACAACAATTCTTTAAAAAATCTAGCAAAAATCTATTCAATGATCTTTTTTTTTTTTTTTTTTTTTCATTTTAAAACGTAACTGATATCCTTATTAAGAAAACCTTTAAGACAGCTGTTAACCCATGAATATCTGAGCAAGACCTTTGACAAAAAAATTATTAGCAAATACAATTTTAAACATTAAGTTAAAATAAGACATTAAAAAAATTTTGGATATCAAATCTACTGTGTAAAAAAAACAAAGTGCTTTAACTTCTTTGTGTAAAATGTGAGTAAAACAGAACACGAAGGCACCGCACTCTGAAATACTGAGACAGTAAGAATAAATCCCAGAATCTATGTTGTTAAAACAGTATAGGTTTTAAAAAATCTACTAAAAAATATATTTGCAATGTGTACACACTGCCATTCAAAACTCAGAAGAACACAATTCTAACATGTAGCATTTCACCGATCACAGCAATCAACAATGACCTTGACCCTCTGTGGATACCTCGTCATGGTCACCAAGGTGATGATGACCTTGGTTGCTATGGTGACTACTTGTCTGACACAAATGCTGATAAGATTTCAAAGGGGAAGTCACTTTCACAGGAATTTTGGAGAATCCGTGCATACTAGATGTTGAATGACACCTCTGTGGAGAGTAACCTCTTGACTTTCCTTTCCCATGTGCTTCACTTGATGTTGACAGACTTCTTTTACTGTCTTTTGAATGACCATGACCTTTGACCTTGTGATGATTTTCAAGGTCATTGTTGTGACCATGTTTGGAAAATGGATCATTAACAAGATGACCATCTCTATTTTCATGGTAACTTGAAGGTCGGGGTTTTGAATGCTATAATTAAGTATGAAATACAGAAAATCCACAGCAAAGGGAGACAATCAAGTTAAAGAAAAAAAACCCTCAAAGATAATACTTTCTTTTTTAAAAAATCCCTGCATTTTTAAAAATAAAACATAAGTAAGAAGAACATGAATTACCTTAATTGATAAAAATATTTTTGTATACATCTATATATAATCCTAGAAATAAAATGGGAATATGTTCTCATGCATGGAAAAAAGATAATAAAATATATCTAGGAATGGAATCTACACAGAATTAAAACAAAAACCTTGAATAAAATGAAAATAACTGGAAAGAAAGGTTAAAAGTAATTCAACTCTCACATTAACAACAGATGGATTCTGAAAGTGAAAATTGTGTAATATACATGTATATCGCAATTCAATTTTCTAAATATAGACTTTGTAAAAGCAGCAATGGCTTGACACTATGCTGTTAAAGAAAACAATAACTACATGTGTAAAAGAAAATGTCAGGCATTTTTGAAAGCCACTATTAAATAATGGGTGAATACAATTTTGAAGAGTAAAAGAAGATGCTTATCTAAAAGCAAAGTGGGGAGTAGAAATACCTGATAAACCTAAATGAATATAGACATTTCCATGAAACATACATACACATTTTCATATATATTTTTGCATTATTCATTAATGCAAAAATCAAATACCTAATTTTTATTAAAGCAAAAAATCAAAACTGACAATTTCACATTTGCATAGCAACAGATGAAGCTTATTTTAAAGCTAAATTGACAATTATTATAGTAAAACTGACAATTTCACACAGCTTTGCTATGTTTCAGTCAATAAGCAATCAACAGAAATTCAGTCAAAACTTTTCCATTCTAGAATTAAAACACTGCACAGAAAAATGAAATACTGTGCTATAATCTTAAAAAACAACCTCATTTATTACTATCATTGAAGTTGCTTTCCTGAAATTTTTATTTACTTTCTGTTTCATTTTAAATATCTATAAATCAGATGAGTTACAAAAAATAACATTTAAAAGACTATGAAATATCACCTTTATAAATTGTATATAGTTGTGTCAATAGCATTTTGCAACTGTGTCATACTTATGAGAGATTCCCCTAATTCAGGAACCAATGCATCTGATTGATTAATTGAAACTCAGAATTTAAAATTGGCCAATGGCTTATCACCATTTTCCTTATTTATCACACGCCCGTGCCGATTTTGCGACTCCGTAAATATGGTATTGCACGGCCGTGCATATATTTTGACGTGACGTCATTAGCGTTATACAAACATAGTGTAAAGACGCGCTAAATGTTAACGCTATACTATATGCGCGTCAATGTAAAATTACTCTTATTTCACTTTAAACGGTCTTTATTTTTGGTATGTGATAAATAGAATATTAAATTCGTGTAAGTTCATTACTGAATTTATTGCACTCGTTGAATAAAATAATATTATGCTCGCCAGAGGCTCGCATAATATAATTTTATTCAACTTGTGCAATAAATTCAGTATTGAACTTACACTCATTCAATATCCTCTATATAAGTTTTATATCATAAGACTTGAAAATACCTGCTAAGTTTGAGATATAGTTTAAAATGAAAGCACAATAAAGGAAATTTATAGACTTACGAGTGTTTGTTGAGAAGGCTTCTCAATAAGGGAAACCATTGCAGCAGGGGAAGTTGTCACAAACTCAAAATCACAGTCTATGTTCTCCTACAAGAAAAAACAATATAAAAATTACATGAAAATAGACGAATAAAGCTTTGCCTTACACCAGACTATAGTATTAAATAGTTAAATATAACTTATTTCACACCTTATAAAATGTAATTTCAGCACTTTCAGCATTTGCACCATGTGATGTTCCAATTGAAAACATTATTGGATCCAATTTAATGATAAGGTGAGTCTTCAGGTGCTTTTCTTGTATTATCTTTGTCACAAGGGTACAAGGAGATATTTAAGTAGAACCATCAACAATCCATAAGCTAACCACATAGCTAGCTCCCTGACATAAAAGAATCTAAATTCTCTGATGAGATTCAAAACCTACAGCAGTGAGGGGTAAATCATTAATCTAAAGTATCAATATCATTATATAATTATTTATTACTTGACTATATCGGTCCTGTGGTGTGGTGAACACCAGATCATGGAAGAGAAGTTGTAGCTTCTCCTGAGTGTAGTTGTGGCAGAGATCTTCAAAACTGGCACCACTTTGTCGACCACATGTTGCCGGATTTTGGAAGCCTGGTGTGTCCAGTACCGTAATTGATGCCAATGATCGGAAATTTGATGACAGAGATCTGTAATACAAGAAATAAGTTCAAATGTTAATATACTAATAGTAAACGCAAGTTTCACATGCTGCACACAATATGACTTTTCATGGAAAAGTATTAATTTAACAAACTAGTCAAATCATGTTCCTTGCTTCCACAGTCCTTATTTGAAATAAGCTCTTTTTATAGAAAGTAATTTCCTAAAACCATCCACAGAAATAATGTGTTTCATTTTTCTACAACAAATCTACTACAATTAATTCAAATGTCACATTAGGGTCATAAATGTTAACAAAATCCTAGGAAATACTGAGCTTTGGTTAAATAATAGAACAATGACAGTATGACAGTATGTTAATTTATGATTTGTTCAAGTAATTTTTAATATTTTCATATAAAACTAGCATTAATAGGTAGGCTTTCATCAATCAGTTGACTACAATAATGGGATACCTGTTTATCATTGAGACAATTGCATTAAAGACATCTGAATACAAGCCAATCACAAATCCCTCGAGGGCATCCATAGCTGTCGTGTGAGCCTCACTCTGTTTATCTGCAGGACTGTTCCTCATGGAAGTGTTCCTAGTTAGTGTGGCAGTACCAGATGAGGCAAATATATTACGGGCCAATTCTTCTACTGATATACCTAGAAGAGCAGCTGCACGCTGGGCACCAGCAGGTCGTGCAAATTGACCTTTGTTGTTATTTCCTAAAATAAATATGTTCAAGATAAATATCAGAGAATAGAATAATAAAGTACTTAAGTGGGTTACGAGAAAGCAAAAAATATCTAACAAAAAGATATGATTAAAAATTTAGCAAATAGATATTTAGGAAATTAAGTGTTGCGGTAGGATAATGTATGGTTTGTGTTTAGATGCACATTTATATCATCACCAAGGCTACAGTTTGTCTAACATAGAAATGCTTTTGCAGTCTGTTTTAAAATAGGCTAAAATGCTAAAATTAAACCGGATAAAATCCAAATGAAAGATGTTACAAATGATATGTTGTACCTTTAACTGCCCCTGCTACACCTAGATGATATATTGCAGCCAGTACAGAACATATAGATCTGATTTCTTCTTCTGTCATTCCTACAGAGTCCATAGCACTATAAATTTTGGCCCAGTACTGCATAGCTCTCTGTTTGTCCTCCGTCTACAAAATATTAACATGAAGTATACACATAATGAAATTTTCTTGTGGTTTTACATCACATCAAGTCTTTTAAAGTCATATGGCCACGTCCCTTTTTTGCTGGGGGTAGTGTGGCTGGGGAGAGGGAGTGAGGAAATGGGAGTAACTTTAGACGCCTCTTTGTACATTATTTGGGTAATGAGTGGATAATGAAGTAAGACCACTGACCTTCCAAATTTAGCTACAAAGTGAAATAGTTTATAACTATATTGAAAAAGTGACGCATAACAGTTGCATCCCCTTGTTAAATTTTATGTAAATTACAACTGATATGCAAATACTGCAATTAGCATAACAATCTAACAGTAAAATCCAACAAGTGCATAAATACTATATGGAAATTCAACACAGCTAAAATATTTTCTGCCCTTCTTTTCTACAAAACTATCAATTTTGAATTAGAGCTTTTACATTTACAAAATACCAGTGTGTGGCATTTCTACTGCTCAAATGATGCAAAAAGATAATATTTCTAAGGTCAAGGTGAATTGAACTCTTTGAATCTTTTGCTGATAAAATCATTTAATATTATTTTACAGAAACATTTAAAATCTTGTGGTGAATATGTCTAATTTGTTACATTAGACTCCTAATGACATGAAATATAATACAGTATGAACATTTTGTCTTCTATTTTTGTTTCCATTTGTTTCTATATGTAGCATTTAAGGTCATACATGTATTATAAACTACAACAAGGTAATGTTAATCTTGCTAATTAGCCAGACAAGAACCTGGTATACATGCTACATTGGAAACAATGTCTTTAGAGTATCTCCAGAAAATAGCAGGTTTGTTGATTTCATGGTAAGATAGAAATACACTAAATATTATTTATTACATTCATAATCATATAACATTTACATACTGTACAAGCGACCCCGTGTTTACTTATCCAATGCTCTCCTTATTGAGCTGAGCAGGCAGACATGTTAAAATTATCATGAGAATATGTAGCATTCTATTTTACCACTGTATATGATAACAAGCAAATTCGTTGAATTTATATCCCCCGCCGAGTACTGGTTATTATTAATACAACAACTGAAGACATAAGGCTTTATTTATATATTAATCATGGCATAAACTGTAATATTCTTTGAACTTGAAGCCTTGTACCTTCAAACAAGAAGAATTTTTAAGTTTTCACTATATACATATAAGGAAAATCTATGACCCCCTGGAGTGGGGCCAATTTTGACCCCAGGGCTAAAATTTGAACAATTTTGGTAGAGGACCTATATCCAGATGAAAATACCCAGGTGCACAACTACACATACTGATCAACATTCCTGTAAAGTTTCATGACTCTAGGTCAAATACTTTTTGAGTTACATGCCACACAAAGTGAAAATGACAAATTTTACTAAGTCAAGGGCAATAACTCTAAAAATACTAAAAATATCCAGACGAAAATACCCAGGTGCACAACTACACATACTGATCAACATTCCTGTAAAGTTTCATGACACTAGGTCAAATACTTTTTGAGTTACATGCGACACAAGTTGAAAATGACAAAATTTTACTAAGTCAAGGGCAATAACCCTAAAACTACTAAAAATATCCAGACAAAAATACCCAGGTGCACAACTACACATACTGATCAACATTCCTGTAAAGTTTCATGACTCTAGGTCAAATTCTTTTGAGTTACATGCGACACAAGTTGAAAATTACATAATTTTACTAAGTCAAGGGCAATAACTCTTAAAATACTAAAAATATCCAGACAAAAATACCAAGGTGCACAACTTCACATGCTGATCAACATTCCCATAAAGTTTCGTTGAATTCCAGCCATCAGTTGCAGAGAACTACTCCGGAAACGAAATTCTAAGTCAAGGGCAATAACTCTAAAAATACTAAAAATATCCAGACGAAAATACCCAGGTGCACAACTTCACATGCTGATCAACATTCCCATAAAGTTTCGTTGAATTCCAGCCATTAGTTGCAGAGAACTACTCCGGAAACGAAATTCGGACGGACGAATGGACGGACGGACGGACGGAAGGACGGACGGACAACGCCAAAACTATATCCCCCTCCCGATTCCATCGGCGGGGGATAATAATTACGTTCTAGATATAGTGTAGTGGGGATCATATTAGCTCATTCCCATTGCTCACTGCTATAGACAGCTTAAACTGTAATTTCACAGAGTGAACATCAGACCCAATCATTTCATGATATAGCCAGGAGTGAAGTTGTTGTTTATTGTAGTTTATGAGTGAAACATTATCTATCTTAATGTAAAACAATCTTTTAAACATGTATTGTGCAATGTAATGCCAAGCACTATTTCAGGCCAACAAGAATGTAACTCAGTACAGCGGTCAACCAATGCAAAATGGACAGCCCGCCTCCCCCGATAAACATGTCTTTCCAAATTACACAACAATAAAAATTATATGAGCCGCGTTACGACAAAACCAACATAATGGGTTTGCTACCAGCATGGATCCAGACCAGCCTGCGCATCCATGCAGTATGATGAGGATCCATGCTGTTCACTTACAAACTGTATAACAGGTAGAGAAACTGATAGCGAACAGCATGGATCCTGATCAGACTGGTCTGGATCCATGCTGGTCGCAAAGCCATTATGTTGGTTATGTCATGACGCGGCTCATATATAAAAAGATTTCAATCCTAATTTTACCTTCTGTAGAGGTGTCATGAACAGGTTAGGGTCATTCAAGTTGTTCAATTGTAATTCTGACCTGTAAAAATATATGCAAATTCATTATTTTATGTTATTTAGAACAAATATTAGTAAGTCACTTTTTGCAATATCTTTCAATGAGTGAATAAATAATAAAGCTGAGAAGTCAGAATCAATAAAGTTGACATTTTTGATTGCTAAACACTAAATAAATGCAACAGTGTATAGATTATCAAGGACATAGAACAGTTTTGCAACAAGTCTGTGAATATTGAAAACTGTAAAGCACACCAATATTTACAGAACTGATTACAATTTAAATCTACTTATAACAGTTTGCAAATTTTTTTAAACACTTTTAACAAAATAAGCCATTTGGAAGGAGAACAAAACAGGTGAGAAATGAAAATATAAGACAAAACATTTTGCTCTGTCATTAAAATGGTCTAAACTAATATGAAATTGGAAATGTAGTGAATTAAGTATTTGAGAGAAAAAGTAACATGGCTGCATTTGTGAAAAATTACATGCCAGTGCTGTATTGGGTAGCACTAAATTGTACAAAAAACATTATGTTACAAAACTTTCACAAGATTTATTCATTTCATTGGAGAATTTGACATTCTTGGTCTTTATATGGTTACATGAAAATGAACAATTGTTTTAGTATATATTGCAATATAAATGTGTTAAATAACTAATTTCAAAATAAAGCTACCTTGTATTATGAGTCCTATACACTTTAAAACGTTTAATTTTCTTTACATTTTAAATGCATGGCATTTTATCTTTGTACTTAACTTTACTGTTAAAAGATACGATACCTAAGTTTAGAATCCACGCCAGCCAGTAATTGATAGAACACATGAAAAGTTGGTTCTCCCTCAGGTCTTCTAACAACTCTTGTCTTCTCAAACATTAACACCTACAAATAATACAAAACATACATGTTACATGGTGTATTATCAAATTTATCATGGTATTAAAACTAAATGAAACACTGAAAATTCAAAACAGAAAAATTGCGAATTACAGTGTAACCTAAACAGAGTGACCCTCTGTAGAGCCATTATAAACCACAACAACAATATATATCAAATCTTCTCAAATTTAAGATTTAACAATGAATTTAACCTTTCTACAGCAACACCTCATGATAACAACCAAAACCATTTCCTCCCAAAGGATGTTGCTCTGCAGAGGTTATACTGTATGTTAAAATTAACACCAAGAACCTACACCTTTAACCTTTTCCTGTCTAATTTAAACAGCATACATATTCTAACTATGAAATTGAAACTGTTCATTACCAGTATCATATCAAAAATTTAAATATCAAAACACCAGTTTTGATAGTTCACTAACATACTTACGTTATTGTAACTCGAGTTTGAATGTAACTTTTTGTATAAGCAGCACTTACGTATCTATTTGCATTTCACTAAATTAAATTGCATTGTTCTGTTTAATGAAATGCAACTAACATAAATTTACGTTTTGAGTAAGTCAAAATTTACGTAAAAAGATATGCAAAACTAACGAAATGTTAGTGAAACGCTCGCCAGAGCTGAAAAGTGAAAAGGGTCTTTCCTAAGAATCAATGTGTACCTCAATGAAGTGTTGGCCTGGCCAAGTGGTTAAGGCGTCCTGCTAGCAATCTTAAAGATCGCATGTGTTGAAAACACTTTAGGGCCAAGTCATTGTTCTCTTGAGATAGAAACTTTACACTCACTGCTCAGCACTGGTTGGTTCCAGGAACTGAATCCAAAGTGTCTATAAGCTTATAGCTTCCTACACAATCATACTAAAATAAATTCTGTATAAACCAATGTAAACCTACCTGTATAGATGCTGACACAACCTGACCATTATGGTCAAAATCTAGTGTAGTAATTTGTGAGAACCTGCTAGCATTTATGTTTAATATAGTTCTACTGTTTCCAAATGCCTCTAAAAGTACTGTCATTGCTGACAGCTTGTCCACTGAAATATATAACATAAATGTATATAAAATTATATACTGGTTGGAGAGATAACTCCGACACTAAATCACATATTTTTTGCAATATTTTAATTATCTTCTAGTATATTTTAAATATTGAACCACCTAAACAAAGTTCAGTTCAAACACTACATTACACCACAAAAACTATGTATGAAAATGGAATCTGGTACTTCTTTAAGGTCTTTAATGAGGTATACAAAACATGGTCTTTTTACCCCACAACAGTAGATAAAGTCGACACTTAAATTTTTAAGTAAAAAATGACTGGAAAAACAGCATCAATAATTTATTTTTACATCTTATATGGTTTATCTATTTTTTGTAAATATTTAAACAATTTTTCAAAAATCTTTCCCAAGTTAGTGGCCTGTGGTCAATACATTTCTAACTACCTTACTGTAATTTAGTAAAAAGAACGTTTTGAAGCAGTTTTTGCCTACAAAAAGTTTAGGTTATTTGAAAAACATTAAAAAGTCTACCAAATTATAACAAATCATCACATTCTGTCCTGTTCCTATACTGTTAGGTGAGCATGTGCTTATTTGTTGAAAAACAAAGCTAAAACAATTATATTTATCAAGTGTCGGGGTTATCTATGCGTCGGAGTTATCTCTCCGACCAGTAATTTTACATTAATGCTGTAAATCATTTTTAATCATAATGTTTAAATTAAGGAAACAATATTATATGACATTCCATAAGCTACATGTATAGATCCTCATAATTTTAAAGTGCAATTTGACCAATACAATCCAAACCTGTCAGCCATAGAGGCAATATTTTATCAATTCTATTGCTGAGTGCATGTTAAAACAAGAGCACCGCTAGGCGGAGCATTATATGCCCGAAAGTGTGTTTTTTTTTTAGTAAGGATGAAGCATTTGTAAGACATGGGAATTCGCTGTTCATCCTATAAAATTTTACAGCTGTAGGTTGATTAATACTTAAGTTATTAATAATGACCTTAACCTTTGACCTTGTGACCCCTAAATCAATAGGGGTCTTCTACCTTATATGGACAATCATCCTAAGAAGTTTGAATATTGTGGGCCAATTGGAACTTTAATTATGCTCTAGAAACTGTTTTCAGTATTAAGGTAAAAGTGACTTTGACCTTTGACCTTGTGACCCCAAAATCAATAGGGGTCTTCTACCCAATATGGACAATCATCCTATGAAGTTTGAACATTGTGGGTCAAATGGAACTTAAGTTATGCTCCGGAAACTGTTTTCAGTATCAAGGTAATAGTGACCTTGACCTTTGACCTTGTGACCCCAAAATCAATAGGGGTCTTCTACCCAATATGGACAATCATCCTATGAAGTTTGAACATTGTGGGTCAAATGGAACTTAAGTTATGCTCCGGAAACTGTTTTCAGTTTTAAGGTCATAGTGACCTTGACCTTTGACCTTTTGACCCCAAAATCAATAGGGGTCTTCTACCCACTATGGACAATCATCCTATGAAGTTTGAACATTGTGGGTCAATTGGAACTTAAGTTATGCTCCGGAAACTGTTTTCAGTGTCAAGGTAATAGCGACCTTGACCTTTGACCTTGTGACCCAAAAATCAATAGGGGTCTTCTACCCAATATGGACAATCATCCTATGAAGTTTGAACATTGTGGGTCGAATGGAACTTAAGTTATGCTCCGGAAACTGTTTTCAGTTTTAAGGTCATAGTGACCTTGACCTTTGACCTTTTGACCCCAAAATCAATAGGGGTCTTCTACCCAATATGGACAATCATCCTATGAAGTTTGAACATTGTGGGCCAAATGGAACTTAACTTATGCTCCGGAAACCAAATTGCTAACGGACGGACGGACGGACGGACGGACAGACAGACGGACGCCAGGGGGTATAACATAATATGCCCTTTCGGGCATATAACAAATATAGATATTGTTTTTGAGGCTGTTTTAATTTCCTTTATAATGATTTTCTGTTCAGATGCTTTGAGAAATTACTGCCTAATGTAAACTCTAGAACCGTGCTTTATCAAACAATAACAATCCAATCTTTATATATTAAAACCCATGACAAAACGTTAAATACCCCATACAAGATATACTTTTATGCAAGAATAGCATTTATGCACCTTTTTTGTGCATTTAATAAATATCTGCAGGAGCTGATTTTGAGTTCAGTCTTTATATGCATCCTCGTGCTTCTGTAGATGTTAATGCACTTATAATACATTCAAGAAACAATATATTTCCAACATAAGACCATTTGTATATTCACCTGTAAGAACATTGTTGACGGTGCCTGCACTCAACGTGAGGTATTGTAAGACGTGATGAACATTGTATGTTTTACCACTACCACTTCTACCCATGAACACAATAGACTGATCCTGACGAGTGTTCAACATTTCACGATATGCGATCTGGGCCGAGGCAAATATATGAGGGGGCATGTCCTCCTGCTTACATCCCTTAAACATCTGTATAACCTGAAATAACAGGGAGGAAATAACATGTTATAGTAAAAATTTTAAACATATGATATTTGCTAATACCTCCTGTAATGCATCAGTTACATAGACAACAGAAAGAATTCAAAGTCAAGTCCACAGTGGTGAGGGGCAAGTGGTTTAAAGTCAATGACCTTGACCACTCGGCCCTTCATTCCAAGGTAAAACCATAATCAATAGTTCAAACAGCATTATTGAAGGGAAACTCATATTTTTAAAATCAGCGAATTAAGGAAGTAAGGAGAGACAAATTAAACACTTTCAATAGCATATTGTCTAGAAATATTGTGAAAAAAAAAACAAAAAACATGGACTTTTTTTAATAAAATAATAAGATTTTGCAGACAATCTGTCACAGCACACACAGTGTATAATATCACAGCTGGTAAGACAAATTAATACATATATAATTATTCTACAAAACCATCATAAACAATAAAATCATATTGTGTGGTCTACATGTAAATACAGAAGATGTGGTATTTCATATACTGATAGTTTCTACATAAGGATGATAGTAACAGCCCTCATTCTACCTCACAATAAAACCCTGTGCAATATGTTATGTCCCATTGATTACATTCAGGCTAGCCTGACAACATTGCAGGTATAGGCTTGCTATTTTAACAGCTGGTACATTAAATGTGGTCCTTACAAAGTTTAACTGTATTAACTTAATGCTTGCTTTACTAATATGGCCGTTACAAGAAGTTGGACTATATTTGGTATATCAAAATAGATTGGCAGAAGAGATCTACTACTAATGGAACGAAGGCTGGTCTGACTTTATATTGCTGTCATAGATTTACTATTATAATCACTAATCAGAGGATGGATAAAACAGGTGTGACTGTACATGCATCTAATGACTGATTATTCTGTGTGATGCACATCATTTCAACTTTCTCACACATAAAGCTTTTAAATGATTTTGACTTTTTTACTTCAATAAACTTATTATAGATTATGGCATGCAATAAATACCATGTAAAACTCATATTAAATATTAATGTTTTCTATCTTGGGTGATTAAATTGACATTTTATAAACAGACTGCTACTTATTGTAGAAATATGGTAGACAGTTTATGAATTATAAATATTTGATATTTAACATCAATATCAATTCCCTGCATTGTGGAGATTTTTTTAAACAACTGGATTACCAAACAAGCTTTAGTTTTCCCTGACACAACCATTTCTATGATTTATAAGTATCTTTTTTATTATCTAACATTTGAAATTTTATAAACCAGTGAATGACAACCTTCTAATTTTTAGACATGAAGGAAGCTTGCCTATGCCTATGTATTATCTTAGGCACATGCATGATGAAGCTGGGTAGAAGCACCAATATTGTTTAAGCTAACCTGAAAAGAAATGAAAGTCACCTGCTGGCAATGAGCGGCTAGTCATTTGAACAAAGGCCTTGCTGGAGAAATAGACCAATAATACTACTGCTAACACATATCTACAATAACAATTACTTACCTTTTCTGAATAAATCTGTAGAGGTTGCATAGGGTTGACAACAATAAGTGATGGTCCACCATATGTATGTATAAGATTCCCGCCATATCTTTGACGTATTGTGTGCAGGGCACTCGACTCGTTTAGATATCTCAACAGTGATAAATCCTCGGCTCTGTCAAGTTGGGGTGGATTTGGCCTGAAATTACAACACAACATCATGACGATAACTGCTTTCTAATGTCTGTGTATAAGGAATTTTAATCAACATTTACAATAAGATATTTCCTGTGAGATTGTGTCACACATTTTCTGTATATTCTTCTTAAACAAGTTGATATTTCACAGCCACTTTCTAAGAAATGTTAAGAATCATCTTAGTTTAGAGAGCTAGCTGCTAGAATGCATGTTCATGTGGTGATTTTCCGGCTCTCATAATGAAGGGTCAGGCCAAGTAGTGTCCCACCATCCATTATTTTCATGCATGCTTGGACACCAGTGTAAACACTTCAACATTTGGCAACTAAACATCTAGAACAACATGCAAAAAGTCAAGCCTAGGGTCCATAAGCCTAAATAACAACAACTATCAGAATTTCAAAAGCTAAGTAATACATTGTCAAAAAACTCATTTAATCAATGTAATTATGCAATCCAGGTATCCTATCTGTATTGTAAAATATATCCTCCATTTTGTAATATGTCCACTTTTTTATCATTTAATTTCATTCTACTGTAATGCAACACATTTGAGCAAATAATGAGATTTCTATATATAAAACAATTCTTTGATAACAATAATATACATGTTTTAAATATGATATGCTAACAAAATTTCTCATTTTCACAACTTTCATTTGCTCACCATTTAACAATAGAATAAAACACCAATTGAATATATATATCTTATCATTTCAAAAGATCCCAACTTAATTTAAAGTTGATAGACAAAAAAACTGATTTTATACAATGGAACAATTTTGTCTGACATTCAACTATAATGACACCTATCGATAGATTTTAAAAGCTATGTAAAAGCTGATAAGCAAAAAATTTAATCGCTTAAAAAAATTAAAACCAATTAAAGTATGTTTTGTTTATCTTCTTGTTTTGTCAAATTGTGTCCATTAACAGATTATATTAAGTTAACATGTTTAAATATTATTTTCACAGGTGCAGCACAAACTGTCTTTAACAATAGGTTTTAAACTGGCTGCCTGAAGTTTTCTCGACATTGTGGGTTCGATTCTTGGGCAGTGGCCAACTGATATTACTAAAAACAGTCTTTTGGATGAAACTTTAAATTGAGAAGATTCAGGAATTGGGGTATATTTCTGTATCTGTATCTTGCACTATCCTCCAAAATCTAAAGTAACTTTAAATATACTCTTCTACATGGTACTAACCACATGGGCAACCAGTGGCAAACTCTTCTGGAGGACTCACCCATATGGGCAACCAGTGGCAATATAAATAAACTCAAATACAGACACACACATGTTCTTGCTAGACACTTAACCTATTGAGCATAGTTGACTGGAAGACATATCTCTATGATTTTGATAATGTTTGATATATTCAACATTCTTGTTGCAATGGTATCAATTGGTCATGGCTTGTGTTTCCAGACCATTGGTTTATCTTAACTGAGTTTTCTATACCACTCGCTATACAGGGTGTTTTCTACCATTGGTTAAACAGAGTGTGTTTTCTACCATTGGTTAAACACAGGGTGTTTTCTACCATTTGATTTATTTATTGTTTTCTACCATTGATTTCTACAAGTTGGTCTATTATCAAGTGGTATATAAACCAATGAACCATGTTTTCTACCAATTTGTGAATTTTCTTCCAATTGGTATATTGAGTCTTTGTGTTTTCTATACAATTCTGGTATAAGTTGTATATAAAGCTTCATGATTGTTTAAAATATATTTTCATCATAGGAGTTTATTTCATTAAAGATCATATTAACAGATTAAGATGTAAATTCTTTGATCAGACACAGTAATCACCTTCTTACAACCTCAAGAATAATTTATTTATTATGTTTAATTTCTAAATCAAACATTTATCATCAATTTATATCTACTTTATTTGAAATAATGTTATATATTACCAATAACACTGACTCATGTGTAACTATTGGGCTGATTTACAACCTTATTCTCGCCCAACCACTATTATAACCTAGAAAAACCTGAACAATCAACAATAAATTCAGGTTAATGGCATTATAGTCACAGGTCATCTGAGACAACATTTGACAAGAAAGTCATCAAAAATATAAAGTATTAGTCAAATACAATCATCTATGTATCCAACAGACCTAAAGGTAAACTAGATAATAAAGAAAAAATGTTTAAAGAACAAACAACATTTTAATAAAATTGAAAATGATGCAGACTGAGTTTGACTGAGCTTGTTCAAGGCCATGCTGAGTTGGTAAATGCAATCCATGGCACAGACTTCAACAGAAATCGGCATTTAAATATGATTTTATGCATTGTATGATCTGACCATTTATAATTCAAATATCAAAATGCTGAAGTTCAGCAGTAAACCTATAAACTTCTCAAAGTTAAAACAGCATTGAAAATTGTTACCTTCTCAACATCATCTTCATCCACTTCTAGTATCTCTCCTCCATGATCCAGTCTTATCTTGACACGCCCCTCTGGTAGGCCATACCCCTCCCCTTTCAGCTGACTGGCTGAGGCAAACCCTCCCTTGTGGACAAGCCACACCCTCTCTGCATCCATCCATGTTTTCTCTGATTGCACTTCAGTTTCTGATCGAGCCTGGAAAATAAAAGAACATATTTATTTTTGGGGTATAACAAGTAAATTCTGTGCTTTAGCACATCATTTGGTACATGTCTGTGAAAGTTGGAGTGACCAAACATTGAAAGAATACAAAAACAAAATATTGAGAAGGATAAGGAGAGACGTAGCCATAGTCAAAATAAGAAATAGTAGAACAAAGTATATAATCATGGTCATAGAAATCAAATGCTCTTTTGTACAATCCATTCAACAAATTCTTCAATGCTACCCAATTTCATTTTTATTTATAACCATTACAAAATGTAGTCTTTAAACTAATAAATGTTACTTGGCTTCAACTCAAAAGAAGTATTACAGCACATGCAGTGAAAGCAATTTCAAAACAATTGGAGCTGAATCCCTAAAGCATTATCAAAACAATGTCACTACCATAAAAAATTAATTAAAATGAGCCGCACCATGACAAAACCAACATAATGGGTTTGCGACCAGCATGGATCCAGACCAGCCTGCGCATCCGCACAGTCTGATCAGGATCCATGCTGTTCGCTATCAGTTTCTCTACTTGTAATAGGGTTTGTAAGCGAACAGCATGGATCCTGATCAGACTGCGCGGATGCGCAGGCTGGTCTTGATCCATGCTGGTCGCAAACCCATTATGTTGGTTTTGTCGTGACGCAGCTCAAAATATTTTCATTTATTGTACTGCCATGGTAATTTTCTATGCAATACTTTACAATGTTATATTTCTGACTCAAGAAGAGCATGATAAAATCATACATAAAGGCTCCCAATGGCTTTGTTGCAAATGTTGCTATCATATATTTTCATATAAATGCTCTTAAAATAATTATATTAACCCTTAACAAGTTAAATTTGTATCATAAATTTGTCCTGCCTCGAGTTTGTATCAATAAATTGTTAATAGTTACATGTTGGGAATGGGAGCAGCAAGTACTACAGTGAGTGTTCAGAATGCATAGATGAATTCTGCACTAAATTTTACCATCATACATTTTCATTTAATAAAAAAGAAAAGATAATTTCTCAGACTGGGACCTTAAAGAAAACAATGGTATGGCAGCTTTAAAGAATTTTCTGAAATCTGAAATCATGACAATTCTTTTCTTCAATACTTAGAAATCTTTAAAATACTCTTAATTGAACTAATAACATGCTCTGCCTTCAAGGTCAGTATTGTCATTCTTTATTTTCAGAGGCTTTAAAGTTAAGCAACCAATAGTAAAAAGCTAATTGGTCAGATTCAGGTGAGCCTGACAGATGATAACAGGAACGATGATATAAGCACTCAAAGAGATTAATAAAAGTTAAAACATTCATCAATAGTTATTATAACTTATAGTTTACACATGTATCACCTTTCATAGCTTCATGCATTATTGCACACATTAGAAAATGCCTTAAGGATAAGTTTTAATCACCATTATCAAGCTGTATTATACAAAACACAAATCATTTTATATCCTTGTAACTAAATGCTCATTTTGTACAATCATTACCAAAACTGTGTGATGTACATTTCCTTAATATGTTCAATTAGTATCAACAAAATATCTATTAACATGAACAAAATACATCACATTTATAAGTAAATGTATAGTGAATTAGAACTATCACTAAATGTGATTAATACCCCCACAAGACTGTTTCGGAAATGAGGATGTTACTAGTAACAGAATACCTTGTAAAAGAATTGAAATATAGAGTTATGGTTGTGGGCAATTAAAGATAGTTGTGCTTCTTGTATGTTGCATTTCCTTTCAATGTAGTTGGCCATTGATGAAGTTTTATTGAATTACAAAGTACTCTGTAATAAGTCCAGAAAGACAAAGAAAAGGAACAAAGGGCAATAACTCTATAAATACTGAAGATGGAGTTATAGTTCTTGTGCACTGCACTTCCTCTTTTTGTGCTTGACCATTGTATGAAGTTGTTTTGAATTTCAACCAGTACGTTTTAAGTTATGCTCCAGACAAGGAAAAGTATCAAAGGGCAGTAACCCTGTATTTTGTCAAAATAGAGTTATGGCTTTTATGCACTGCACTTCCTTTTAATGTCCTTGACAACTGTATGAAGTTGTATTGAATTCCAAACAGTAGTTTTCAAGTTATGCTCTGGACAAGAAAAAGTAACAAAGGGCAATAACTCTGTAATTTGTCAAGATGGAGTTATGGTTCTTGTGCACTGCACTTTCTCTTTTTGTGCTTGACCATTGTATGAAGTTATATTGAATTCCAACCATTAGTCTTCAAGTTATGCTCTAGACAAAAAAGCAATGGAAAAGTAACAAAGGGCAATAACTCTGTAATTAGTCAAGATGGAGTTATGGCTCTTGTGCACTGCACATCCCCTTATTGTGCTTGACCATTGTATGAAGTTGTTTTGAATTCCAACCAGTAGTTTTCAAGTTATGCTCTGGACAAGGAAAAGTAACAAAGGGCAGTAACTCTGTAATAAGTCAAGATGGAGTTATGGTTCTTGTGCACTGCACTTCCTCTCAATGTGCTTGACCATTGTATGAAGTTGTATTGAATTCCAACAAGTAGTCTTCCAAGTTATAGTCCGGACAAAAGAAAGCAATGGAAAAGTAACAAAGGGCAATAACTGTGTAATTACTTTAGATAGAGTTATGGTTCTTATGCACTGCACTTCCCCTTACTGTGTTTGACAATTGTATGAAGTTGTTTTGAATTCCAACCAGTAATTTTCAAGCTATGCCCCGGACAAGGAAAAGTAACAAAGGCAATAACTCTGTAATTAGTCAAGATAGAGTTATGGTTCTTGTGCACTGCACTTCCTCTCAATGTGCTTGACCATTGTATGTAGTTATATTGAATTCCAACAATTAGTCTTCAAGTTATGGTCTGGACAAAAGAAAGCAATGGAAAAGCAACAAAGGGCAATAACTCTGTAATTACTTAAGATAGAGTTATGGTTTTTGTGCACTGCACTTCCCCTTATTGTGTTTGACAATTGTATGAAGTTGTTTTGAATTCCAACCATTAGTCTTCAAGTTAAGCCCCGGACAAGGAAAAGTAACAAAGGGCAATAACTCTGTAAGTAGTCAAGATAGAGTTATGGTTCTTGTGCACTGCACTTCCTCTCAATGTGCTTGACCATTGTATGTAGTTATATTGAATTCCAACTATTAGTCTTGACTCTTCAAGTTATGCTCCGGACAAGGAAAATGCAACGGACGTCTGGACCGACCGACCAACCGACCACCGGGTGACTCCTATATACCCCCCAAACTTCGTTTTTGGGGGTATAAAAATGTTATTGCATATCTTTTTTTAATATTCTTAAATAAACCTTTGAATTTATCTATCTAATGCCTTATTCAAAGAAAGAACTTTATATATATATATATTTGGTGTATTTGATTGAAGGCCATTAATTTTAATTCTTGCACAAAACCTCCTTACATGGTTAAACATTATTGGAGAACAAGATAAAATCATGTGAGCAGCCGCCCTTGTTGCATGTTTTTAATATGCTTGACTCCGGGTGCCATGTAAAAATGGCTTGTTGCAATGACGGCCCTGGTGGTTTTATTACATAATTGCCAAATGAAATCGTGCTAGCACATGGAGAAACCCATTTCTTTATTAAACTTAAATCAGAGGACATTCATTGCATACAAAAGAAAATGATGTCAGAACTTATAAATAACAAAACCAAGTTAGCCAAGTCCATTCATTGAACTGAGTCTTAACAGTTAGTGTGCTGCAGAACCACCTCTAATCAAAACTCAACTTTCATTATAGAGTAGTAGTTATTGATATGAAATCATTGTAAAATAGTTGAAATGATTTTACAACCATCGTTCAAATAATTAGCATACAAACCATTAAGAATTCACTTTTATATTATCGCCTGTGGTAAGAATTAATATCTTGTAATCAGGACCTTTTCACAGCCAAAAAATATCAATTGAAGAAGTCATCAAAATTCTAGTAGGTCATGTGATATTATCTAATTGAACAAACCATACAATAACAGAAATTCTTTATGCATACCTAAATATTATCATACATCTACGATTTTAACAAGACAATCAAGTCAAATCACATACAATATATCCCATAAAACCTCGGTCTTGTTTCTGTTTTTATATAAAGAATCTATTTTACAAATTTAATGACATTTAAAACAATGCACTGGATTTATGAGCATCAGTATACAAAGCCACAAATTTGCATAATTTTATTGCTTTAATTTACAAAATAAATGACAGATTGCATTAATATTATGTAATTTAGCTACACAATGTGCATATAAAACAACAACAAAAATCAAGCATATCAGAGGTTTATAAAACAAGTCATTTATAATATTTTCCTCACAGATTTAAGTTGTGTGAAAATGGCCAAGAATTTCGAAACTTTTATGGCTTAAACTTCCAAGAGCCACAACAGTCTCATCCTTTTTGGATGCTAAGGTGACATAAATGACCAGCCACTAACTAGAGCCAAGCAAGCCTGCACAGCCTTAATTTAGACTAGATCATTGACTGGTCAATCTAGTACTAGTATATGACTGATGCTCTAACAATGGGCTGCTGCAGGCCAAAAACCTTACATGAATTCATTACGTTACTGGTTTGAGACTGGTCAGATTGTACTGATGTGAACGCTCAGGCATTGATTTAACCACCATAACCTGCTGACTTTGTGTTATGGCTTTGCCCTTTTGAATTTGGAACAGTCGATGAAAAATTTAAGGATTTCAGCATTAAACTACCACAATCATTGAGCCTCTGATTTTGACTCTTAGATAATAATGGTGGCATAGGCTAGAGTTAGTGTTAAACTGATGGTCAATATACTATATACTAGTGTTGCAGGCAGAGAAAAATGTGCAGTCTGAACAGGACTTGAAGCCGGGACCCTCGGAATACCTCGTCATGGCTGTACCGACGGAGCTATTCAGCCACTAACACAACCCTAAATAGCAAGCAGTTCTGAACCGTGACATTAGCAAAACTTAAAGAGGTAATCATCATATTGTTTTATACTATATACAGGGACAGACTGACAAACAGACACACACACTAAAAACAATAAGCCTCGCTCAATCTTTTGATCTGGGTGTATAAAAAATGAATAAGGCATAAAGTATTTTACTGAATTTTGAATGTTTAAAGTGAATAGATAAGGACTGAATTAAAGATAAACTGTTTAAACAAACAACCTTGTTTGAAGTAACCAAAATAAGTGGGTAATTAAAGTCTACCGAAAATTCCTACACAGGTATGATAGTAAACCAGACAAACTAATTTTAGAGCTTAAAGTATTGACAAAAGTTATAATAATGTTCAAACAAAATTGTATGTATTATAACTGCGCAAAGATTATGCAAGATGCGCATATTTTTGCAGTCTGCAATACATGTAATTGAATGGAATGCAAAGTGCAATGCATATCAGTAAAAATAAATTATGAAGCAACAGACAAAAAGTCTGAAAACAAAACAATGTGTTTAACTACATAATTACTATAGTTTGCAATTAAACTTCAACTTGTGAAACCCGTTACTCAGCTATTATGTTACGTCTTCGTCAAAATTTAAATGCCCGAGACTTCAGAATAAATGCGACCAACCTTGATTTTTCCGTGACGATGATGATGGGATACGTGTCCATGTTTAATCATAATGCTTAAATGCTATAAAACATGCACAAATTACGCGCTTTTGGTAAATAATACAAATTCCTCATGAAACTAAGACAAATCGCACATTGTTGATCCATCAAGCATGGCCTTATTTGTTGAATACGGTACATAAATAACGTTAGTATTATACACTGACAATGTAGATATTCTGGTCTATATAAACTTTGTTGGCAGTCATAACCTGGTATAACCCTACTACCATTTTTACATTGACTATAAGATCTATTGACATTTTAACCTACTACAAACTGTCAATACACTAGTCAAACAGTAACGATGAATAAAGACGTAAAGTCATACCACTATACAAGTCTATGCAAAAATGCAAGGTGTGTTGATTATCAATAATATATTCAGATGAAAAAATTTATACGATATATGATATGCTTCAAAAGTCACTTTAAAAAAGGCTTATAGTTTCCTCATTTTTAACAAGTTCAGGCTCATTAGATGATCATGCAGATGATTAAAGTACTGATGAATTAAATGAACATAAAAAAATGGTAATAATATTAATGATGATGTTAATAATGATAATGTTTTGTTATTGATTATGATGATGATAATAATGATATTAATGAAGATAAATTAGGATAATTTTTTTGTTACTATTGATGATATCGATGATAATGAATTTGTTGGCAATGTTATGAATAATCATACTTATACTGACTTTAAGTTATGGAAATAGTAAAATTTAAAGATTTTGTTTATGATTATAATGATGAGTTAACTGACAGTCAACTGACGATAAGTGAATGCAAAAGTGTTGGTGATGATGATGATGATGGTAGTGGTTCTGGTGATGATAATGATGATGATGTTGGTAGTGGTGCTGATGATGATGGTGAAAACACAAATTCATAATTAAAAACGATTACAGGTCCAACATTGATCATGGCATTTTTTTATGTCCGTTATTTGAATAAATTAACTACTGCAGTCATTTAATACCTAAGTTACTCAGTAAGAGGAAATACACTTTGGAAAAGGGACTTATTGACTTTACACCTTTCACAACTTGAGAAATTATGAATGGTTTTCTTTATCTAAAGCACAGTGGTTACTTTACTATATCATACTACTTACTACATTAATGTCTCTACCACCATGATTTGCTCATATCCGATATCAATGATATATACCTACTTGTCAAAAGCCGTTGCTTGACCGAATCAATCAGTAATGACTGTTATGAATACCCCCATTCATTCAACAAAATTTTAACATTTATATACCCTATCACATTACATAGTTACATTCAAAAAGTTCAGTAAAATGATCAACAATTTAAATATTGACCATGACTGTGTAGAAGACTTGAATGTTGTTAGACAAGTGTTTAATAGTACCATTATACAATTTTTATTTCAAAACACTTATTTAACAGCAACATCATAATGGTGCATGGGTAAAAGGAAAAGTATAAAATTTTTGCCCCCCCCCCCCCCACCTTAACATACCCATAGATACAGTCTCAGCTCATAAACTTTACCAATACCTATCTGCATACACCCACACTAAAAAATAAAATCAGTATTAATGCAACCAATAATCTTTCAAAATAATCTAGTAAATAATATCCCATTTCGAATACATCACGCCAATTAGAGTTTCAATATTGAATATTGTTCCATAACATTTAAGATATCTTCATAATCAAGCAGTATGTGGAAAATCAAATTTGAATTAAGTCTATAGCATTCAGTATTATCTAAAGTTATGGGAGACCTTGATGAAGCAATGTTTGCTGATTATGCAATATCCTTTGCCTAACCAGTACAGTAAGAGGTGACAACCATTACTCCTATAGGAATGTCCTCATACATACACAATTAATTTGGTAGGACAATATTTGTTCTCCCTGTGAGCTTGTTTGTTTGCTGACATGGACCAAACCAGTGAATAACTATTAATATTGAGATAACACACTTGAAAGACAACAGGGAGAAGAACTTGTTACAAACTAATCAGTCAAAGAGGTCTAACAAAAAGTTATCACTTTCATGGTAGAATGATACTCTAATCTGTCAATAAAATTCATAGGAAGCATGGTTCTTAAACAATTTGAAAGCTATTTCAATTACCAAAAAAAAAAATTCACATGACATTTTTTATCAATCGATTCATGCAAAAGCAATTGACATTGATGACATTGCAAGAATATTCTGATGGTATCTTCTTTTCTCTCCCAACTTAATCGAGTCATTCATAAAAATGGAGAAAAAAAAAACATAGGTACAAGAATATCACCTAATTCAAATTGATTTAAGTATATAATATTACCTCAATGCTCCCTGAAGAATCATCCCCCTTTGTAACTTCTTCATCCTTAATCTGGAATAGTTCAATACACTTTTGCAGATCTAATTGTTGGCAGCTATCCTGCCTTGTAAATCTTTGCTTAACTGGTTCCTCTTTAATAGAGGTTGTTTGTAAGGTTCCTTCGACAGCATGACTAAGATGCTTTGCTTTCATTGGGGAACCAGGCCGAGGAGAAACTAAACTACTTCCACTTGATGTTCTTCGGCGTCCACCTGGCTCACCATTTTGTACCCCTTTGTTTAGAGGTATGTCATTTAATTTTTGCTTAACTGCAGGCTTCTCCCCACTATCAGAAGATTGTGTTTTTAATTTTTCAATACTGGCTTTTCTTTCTCTTGGTGTTTGAGCTCTTGCTGCCCCCTCCCTTGGAGTTGCTGCTCTACCTGTTCCTTCTCTTGGAGAGGCCCTAGATGTGGGTGTTCTTGGTGAAGCCCCTCTTGCTCTTGGAGAGCTGTTCACCCTTGGTGAATTGTTAACTCTTGGTGATGCAGCACTTCTTGGTGAAGCTGCAACAATCTTTCTAGGGGAAGAAGAAATACTTCCTCTTGGAGAAGGAGGAACACCTTGTGCAACACCTTTACTGGCCTTTCTTTCCAGTGGAGGTTTGCCCATTTTTTCAGATTGTTTTTTACTTGCTGAAGAATCAACTGATGTACTTCGTCCATTTGGCTTCTTATCAATTGTGCGCGTCACTTTAGCTTCAGAATTCATCTCGGACATTAAATTAGGATTGCTTTTCACTTTTCCAGTAATGGTAAATGTTTCTTTCTCTTCAGTTTCAGTGTTCTTATCTGGCTCAAGAATGCTATTTAAATCAAGAGCCACATATTCAGTACTACCATCTTTTCTAATTGAAAGAAAGCTATTCTCTGATTCAGATTTTCTGATATTCTCTTTCTCAGGTATTTTAACAGGCACTTTGGGCTGTGGAGGAACACCAGGAAGTTTCCTGCCAGAAGATGTTCTTCGAAGTGGTCTTTCAACTGATGTATCTCTTTGTTCACTGGGCCCTAAACTTTCATTTGAAAAAGTTTTTAGTTTTAAACCTTGTTTAATAGCTGGCTTAACCCTTTCAGTAGAGTCACTTCTTTCACTTAATTTTGTTTTTACTCTAACAACAGGACTGTCATTATCTTTTCTTCTATAGTCAGCTTCTTTAGCTTCAAAAGATTTAGTTTTTGACAGAAGACTTTTTCTGGGGCTTAAACTACCCTGTTTTCTTGGACTTATATTATCTTCTATATCATCAGTCTCATCATCAGAGTCATTTAATCCCTTTAAGGAAAGTTTTAAATCCGAATCACATTCCTTTCTTACAATACCCCTAGGTGACACTCCTCGTACTACCTCTACCCTTGGAGAATATCTTGCTTTTGCACTACCTGGTCGTTCTATGTTATGTCCTCTTATTTTACCAGGAAGACCAGTTTGCATATCCCTCACAGACCTTTGAGATCTGACTAGCACACTTGCACTTGCTCCCCTTCTCAAGCCAGAGATTTTTCTCTCTGGTATATGTCTAACCTCTTTTTCTAAATCAGTATTTATTGATGATTCAATATCTTTTTTACTTCTTCTAATTTCAGAATGTGTATTTGCTACACTTTCTTGACTGGCATCATCTTCATCATCAAATTCATCTTTTTCATTATCTTTTAGTCTGTTCTGTTCCTTCAGACTTACAGCTCTGTTTAATGTGTCTACAAAATAAGTTGTTGAATCATTTTTCACATTGCCAGCATATTTGCTATTAACATTATCACTGATATCATCTAAATCTATATCAAGAACTCCAACACCTTTACCATTTTCTCTTTCATTCTCTGCATTAACAACTCCTGATAATTCCTTATCTCCTTTTCTAATTCTGCTAAGTGCTCTTTCCAGCACTTTAGTTCTGTCTCCTGTTCTCTCACTTCTAGGTGACTCTTCATTCACTGGTGACCCCTCACTTGCTTTCAATCTTATTTTAGTCCTATTATCAGAGTTTCTATCCCGATTCAAGGCACTTTCAAGAATTTTCCTTCTACTTTCTGATATTACATCAAACTTTGGTGAAGAGTTCAGATAATTTCTTTCAGTACTATTAGTCACTGCATTACAATCTGTAAGATTGCTTTCATTCAATTCACTAGTGTCATCAATTCTATTACATAAATTGTCCTCTTTTGTGTCAACTTCTTTTGCTCTACGCTTCAAAAAACCTGAGCTCCCAAGCTTATTTGAGCTTCCACCCCTGCGGAGAGGGGACATCAGCCTTTCGGCCTCCATGGACTACCAAGGCTTGAGTTTCCTATTAGAAATAATCAATATTTTTCAACAAAAGTTTTGATATTGCAAGTTTTAATTATTATCTTTTACTTCATCTTATATGAAAAATTATGATAATCCTGATCTTCATAACTCAACTGTAACCACAATAACTTATCAAACTAAAAGATTTAGTCATCACTAAAATTGTAATAAGTAAAACTGTTGTTAAAAAAGTAAAAACTTTAAATGTCATTTCTATTTACTTTTAAAATCAACACAAAATCTTGAGTGCAAATCTAACTTGTAAGATCTATACTCCACACTAGTAGTACCATATTTAGAAAAATTCAATTAAGTTGAAAAGTGAATGTTAAAATGCCCATGAACACATGTAATGAAAATCATTTACCAATTTGAACATCAACAATTGACCCTTGTTTTTATTTACTAAAATATGCACCATTTGATCCATAAAAATTGTACCTGTCCGTGAAATTATATGTATTTAAGATTTACTGATTACATCCTCAATATTCGTTTGAAAGATTTATTTATAAATAAGGGATTGGTCTCGTTTTCATAAAATTTAGATTCTTTATTTTTCTTTCATTTATCAGATTTCTATACTGTATGAAGTGACATTTTTAGAATAACTAAGTTTTTTATATTCATGTGAATCATAATTTTGTATAGGAATTATTTTGTATGGAATCATGTTATTTTTAACTAATTTTATGATTTAAACCTGATTGTGTGATGAATTATCTTACTTTGAATTCAGCATTGTTTACTGTGAATTTAATTGGTCCATTATAGTATCAAAAATAATAAAATTGAGAAGTTAAGTCTGGTTCAGACTGCCCATCATAAACAGCATGTGACTTGAGCAGATTTGCCTTTTTCTAAACCTACTTTAAAAAATAGTTGAAGAATTGTTATAAATGTGGTTTATCTTCTTGTTTGTTTTTTTGTGTGTATAATTTTTTTCCAACATAAAGAAAAAATACACACATCAAGAAAAAATACAAAAAAAAATCAGATGACAATTACCATGCAAGTTTGGTGCAAAACAGTGACATCTTTGTGTGTATGTCAAAAGAAGTACAACTGACGTTTCACACCAAACATATAAAAGACTTTAAGATAATATCATAAATATTAGATGACAAATGAAACTTAAATAAACCACCTGTGTAGCTAAATAAAATAGATATATCCTGGTTGCTGAGGTAGTGTCGTTTATTTTATTATTTTGTAAGCAAATTAATATGCAAATGACTCATTTTCAGCCATTTTATCTATCCATTAAATTTTATAACCTGTAACTTTATTAATCACAAATGTTTTCACTTTAGCATTTCCAAAATTATCATTTTCCCTCCTTAAATAAAAAGTTGTTATTCCAAAATCTATAGTTTGCACTGACCTTCGTACAGTAAACCACTAAATTTTGAATGATAAAGATCTCTGATTAAACTATTTGATTTTATAAACTGAAGATATATTTTTTCTTTATCCTTGCATGATACATGGTCATGTGTCAATAATTTACAATATCAAATCTGACACAATGAATATTATACAAAGAATCCTATAGATCAGATATTTATAATTCATAACTCATTTTCAAACCTACGATTTAAAAAACCAAAAAAACTGCGATGAAATAAAGTTTTAAATACATTATAGACACAAACTGAACTGTATTGAGTAACTTCTTTTCATATCTTTTAAGAGGGTGCAATTTGAGAAAATCAACTCGAAATCTGCCAGTAAAAACAATTAACTCGGCTACAACCTGAAATGCGTTAGATCATTACTCGATTACAATTCAATCAGGTATTTATTAAACCCTATAATTGTTTAAACTTAATTCATTTCACGCATATAATTAAACATTTATATGTTTAAGGGGTAACACGAGACGTAGTCCATCTGGCTTAGATTCAATCCAAAAATAAACTCTGCCAATTACCTTTTTATTTAGTAATTAATTACATTAAATGCATTGAACATGGTGCCTTATCATTTTGATAGGATAAAACTTACGTTTTAAAAAGATTGAACATTGCAAACTTTTACATTTATTCTAATTTATGTCTACTTAAAGATAAAAGCTGATTGAGAAAAATAAGTTAAATGTATTTACCATTGCTTTAAAAAAGCATATTCTGGTTAATAATTTTTGTACCATAATTATTTAATGCAAGTTTGAATATAGAAATCAACTCCTGTCTCAGTTTCAATTTAAAAATGTAATTATTTTATTTGTAAATTATACAATGTTTCGCCTCAAAAGTCTTCATCAGGTATACTTTGTTTACAGGAAATGACGTCAACGTCATATGACGTCAAGGACAACGACGTCAAAATGTAATACATAATTTGGCGTATAAATGTAATATGTAGGATCTTAATAAAAGATACAAAACACTGGTGAAGATGCAGTAAAAAGCAATGAAAAATTAGAAAACCAGCATAAACTACATATTGACATGACATATTTCATAACAATATGTAGTTTATGCTGGTTTTCTAATTTTACATTGCTTTTTACCATAATTATTCAAATAAATGCAAAAAACTACAGTGCCATGTGTGTTCAAATAAATGCATATCACTGATAATATCTTTATCATGTTTAGTTATGATTACTTTAGAAAAACCTTGTTTTTTTTCCATTGGTTTTAATTTATTGTTAAATTTCTATGCTTAAATTAATTTTACTTTTCATTGTAAGGTGTTGCATTGCCTCCCTTTGCATGTTCAAACTGGTAAAGTCATTTCACTTAACTTCAGTAAAATTACTTCTTATTATGAATAGAAAATGCATGATTATAGTATCATAAAAAACAAATCAATTGTTACCATTTTTCTTTTTCTTTCAAATGGATGGCAGCAGACTGTGGGTGATGAGTTTTCAAACATATATGTCTCTTAATTTATTTCTGTTCATTACAGTTTACTCATTGGACTATTTGTTACCAAGTGTTGGTTTGATGTCCTCCTAATCAACCCTCTGACAATGATGATTGACGTTTACTTCTGCAAGTGCTGTTAAATACAACTCAATGCTTATCACAACAATAACTGTCCAAAATTCCTTTAAAAACAAATTTGTGTGAGTCTAAAAAGCATCAACTTCTTCAGCATCAAATTAGCTCAATTTTCCTGCGTTACAATTCAAGCCAGGTGTTAATTTTAGACATAAATTGCACTTAATAGTGATTTTCTAATTTCACTGTACCAATCTGGTTGTCTTGATTATATATAAGTTTAAGACCAGCTATTGTAGATTTGTAGTTGTGACTAGTTGGCTCCAAAAATCAATCCATGAATCAGTCATACTTTTCCAATTACCAGCAGTTTAGTGCACAATTTTCTTTCAGCATGTCGCATCCATTGTTGAAACAATTTCAGTGTTGGTGTCCATGGTCACAATATGTCCAAATATTCAAAATATTAATCAAAATCAGTATAAATATATAGCTAAAGTATCATTCAAAATCATTCAGTGCAACTATTGAAACAAATTTAGTTTTTAATGGAGATTATATCCATCCATGTAGTCTTGTCTTTATTTTGTTGTTTTCCTTTTGTTCCTTCCTCAAACTAAAGTCACAGTTATACAGATGTTTCACATTTTGTATGCAATTTCATGTCACCTAAAAAAAAGAGCTATCCGATTTCAACTTTTTCTCCAAACTCAGTTCATGAAATACTGTTTAACCTTGTACGTCCTATTTTCTTTTTTTTACTATATCACTTGTAGTAATACGATCAAATATAGTATTATAAGTCCTTTTCAAAACCTACGACCCTTTTCATTTTACTCTAATTAACTTTCTAAAACACTGACTATGAATTAATTGGCAAAAACAATTTGTAATGAATCACTTTAAACTTATTCATAAACATAAAACACAATTAAATAAAAGTAAACCACATGGCAATTATACTATATCAGTTAGCTGCTGACTGCAGATAAATGCGACAAAATCTCGTGACAAAATTTCTCTAAACATCGCAACAGTGATTTTCATAACTTTAACGTAATATTCCGATGTTCACAAACTGTTGATCTGTATCAAATATCCCATAAATGAATAAACTTGTGCATGTGAATTTTCTCAGAAATGCATGAATAATACAGTCGTGGAGATAATATTGTTTTGTGACTAAGCTATCAATTCAGTGAGGTTCGATAAAATGCTTATCTATTTTCCATTTGTAGAGAAATATATATTTTTGTACAGAGAAAAATAGCTCAGACCATATGGTTGTTCAATCATCATCAGAAAATATCTTCTGATGGTCAAACAAACTAAACCTCACTGTTCTGTATGTGCTACAATGAAAATCCATTTTAGTTATGGTAACTCAATGCAAAATTATTATTCCATAATAAAGACTTTTGAGAATTGTTTTAAATACTGAAGTCATTATAAGCCATTATAAATTTCAATTATTGCAAAAATGCAAACTGAACAGTCACTTGAACAAATAATTTGAACAAACAATAACAAAACAGTTACCTTTTCCTACTCCCAAAACTTTTATTTAATTTTAGCTTCCTTGATTGTTGTACATTAGTAATAACCTCCCTTTACTGCTGTAGAATATTAATTTCCCCTCTTTACTCCCTTTACTGTTAAAGAATACAGAATATATCAATTAACTGCTGTGAAATATTTATTTTTCTCTGCTTGGTCCAAAATATCAAATACCTTTTTACTATACAATATAAATTTCTCCCTTCGACTGTTAATGAAAATAAATTACCTCCCTTGATCTCTTTGAACTATTTACCTCCAACAACAGCTGTGCTTTGGAATTTGCACTACCTTTTTAATATGAATTATCTCCCTTTACGGCATGCTGTTCAGAAGAACATTTTAGTTATCAACAGTATAGCACATTCATAACAGTGAGATCAAGATTTTTTTTCTAAATTGATAAATGTTGATAGAACAAATTTACAAGTTGATTGATGCCCTATACTGAACTTCTTCTAAAATATCATTCATTTTCTTTTCATGAAATAGACTCTATATTGGCATCACAAAGAAAGAAAATAATTTATCCATATTATAAAATATATATATACAAATAATCAAAGCCAAAGTTTTCAATGAAAGAAATAAATCGGCTAATTATTTATACAAATCACAATGCGCCACAGCATAATGTTATACACCAACGCAGTTTTCACACTATTTTTGTTGATACACAATAATTTAAAAACTCCAATTTCAGTTTACCAAAACAAAATCCTTTTTTGTGCATAAAATAATTGTTATTGAATGTGATGTGTAATACAATAAATGTTTTCACTAGAAATAACTATGATCCCACGAGCATATATATATGTATCTGCACTCATATAATTATATCATATTGATCTCTCCATTGCTGGGTTTTCTACTCATTTATTATGATTAATACATATTTCTACACATTTTGTCTAAAATTCAAACTAAGGTGGTTTATATAATGTCCTCAACAATCACTATAGTTGCCTATAAATAATTAAATTCCTTAGTGAATAAATTTCTTTCTTATCAGTACTGCATTATTCAACATCCACTTCTGTATATCTATGCTAAAACCTGCATTTTACCTAAATAAAGTTTTGTAAAGTCTATGTTAGTTTCCTGTGGACAAGTTTCACTATTACATGCATAATGCAAGAATTGCAATTTCAATTTTCAACAATGTATTAAAAAATATTATTTCAAATAAAACTTATATATCTGGACTTGAGAAAAAGCAAAGTCTTCATGACTGTGCAAAGAAAGTTGGAGATTTACCATTATAAACACTGGTTATCAAAGAAATGGCCAAATGAGGTACATTAAATTACCTCCCTTTAACTATAATTTTTATCATAATATTCAACAAATTAGCATTCAAATACACTAAAAATTTATAAAGTGAAGATGGCTTTGACAAATTATTCTCAGTTTTTTTTATAATTTCTTAAGACATCACAAGAAAAGGTTAATTCTAGTCCCATATTTGTCTACAACAAAAGAGAAATGTGTAAGTTATTATCTCCCTTTAAGCATCAATATGACCATATAGGTACATTAAAAACTTCAGACTGTCATAAATTTATAAATTTACATACATTATAGGATATGATAATTATATATCATAATGAATAATAAAATTATTGTTTTGTAAATTAATTATGCTATTTCAAATCTGCAAAAACTTTATTTTATCATATTCACCATAATCTTTATGTTCCTCAATTTAAATGAATTAATTCAAGGGGAAATATAAAATAATACATTAAATACAAAGGCATGCAGAATATAAATCCATTATGTTGACTTGTCACTCTAATATAAAGAAACTGTCAATTTCAGTACAATAAAACTAAATTAAGGAAATTGTAAAATCACCAAAAAATAGTCTCAAACACTCCATAAAAACACATTTTAACAAAAAACTTTCAAATCCACATCCAAGTATCACAAAATGTAAAATTTTCTTATTCACTTGAGCAAAATCTAAAAATCTAAACCACAATTAAGCCTGATGTTCTAGTAATTAACATAACTCCAAGTTTCATTCAAAATTTTTCTCTTTTCAATATGCTGCTCAAAATAATGTCAGCAAAAATTAGATACAATAAGTCATTGAACGAGGCAGTTCAATACGAGATAACAAAAACGCACAAATACAAGAAAAACTATAACACTCATGTGACACAAGTTTGTTTATTCTACAAGATAAGATCATTTTAAATTATTTTCAAGGTACTTAGGCGTTTCTCTGGTTAAAGACATGAAATATTTAAATGACCTTGACCTCCTTTCTGAAAGTAAACCGCTATTAACTGGGGGATAACACTTTTGTCATGTCACGAATTTGAAGAAAATAAGAGCTGAGAAAGACTGGCATAATGAATATAAGAAAGAAATCAGACACCGAGCTATAAAAAATGCATGCCGCAATTATTATCATACAGTTTCTTGTCATTTTTTCATTCACAAGTATGGAATATATCACTTACTTCTGCCAATAATACACAAGGTCTTTACAAAACAGGCCAGAAAGGGAATATAATAATTTAAATGGCTAAATGCAGCACTAAATATGTTATTTGATATGATATATTTTAGGATGGGTCTAACACATTGAAAAAAAATATTATATAAAGTTGAAAATAAAATTCCTACAATTAACAATGGACAGCTATAAATTTGAATAAGTGGAATTAACTCCACAACTTTAGCACCGTAACTTTGTTCATAATTAATGCCCCCAATTGGAACTTTTTCAATAAGAAATCAGCAAAATTCAATGTATTATCTGTGCCAAATAAATATTACATAACTCAAAAACACAGTTTACATTGTCTATCAATACTTAAAATTGATTTTTATTTTTTTCTTTTATCAAATAACAAATAAGGTCTTACATCACCTTGAAACAGCGCTATCAAAATTAAGGTCAGACAAAAGTGTTTGCCTACATGACTTTTTTTATTCATCTCCTGCAGTGAAATCATTATTTCAAACAATGTTGAAAGCACATTTAGAGCTTCAATGTAGATTTCACAGAAGATATTAATCCAGGTTGAAACATAATTTTACCCCATTTAAGGACAAATCTTGCTGATAATGTTAAATTACATAGTTCAATGTAGAAATGTTTTCAGCTGTCAGTCAATTTATAATCAGACATGTTGTATTGTCAATCAATGGTGTCATAATTGAAAAAACTGTATGGGTGGGGTAATGAAAATATTATGATTACAAAAGAAGGAATACTATCATGAATGAACAGATAACTCTTCTTTCATTATAGTTAAACGCCTTATTTCAAAACGGTATCGTAATTTGATATACTTCATTCAAATAATCTTTTAAATATTTTCCCCAGTTCTTTAGTTAAAGACATATTAAAGTAATTTATTTTCAAACAGTGCAGTAGTTGTTAAAATTTCAAGGGAAAAGTTAGAATTTTTACGCCCAAGATACAGAGTGACATTAAAATTGTAACATTATTGAGTTTGTAGATAATATAGAGCAGTGTTTTACATTGGTCAAAATATGATCATTCTTCAAAATAATATTAACTGTAAGCCCATGCACACCCAAAGGGACCAATAGTGATAAGCCTTTAATGCCAGGAGTATTAAAGGGCAACGCAGGCCATCCTAAATGATCATGCCATCTCTGACTCGGGCTCTATACCGTTTACCAAGTAATTATACTTTGATCCCTAAAATTGATAAATGGGCAGTTTCTGGTAAAAAAATGGGAGATGGAGTTAGTCCATTAAAGAATTTCAGCAGGTGCTTAAAGGGTTAAACATGATCTTATCAAACAGACATGTCACAGAAAACCTAAGTTATCTAACAGTGGGCAGAGGACGTTCTATGAGTTTCTGATGCAAGGGACACAACTCTGTAATGCCAAGTTTTTCAAGAAATCCTGAGGAAAATTCTCATAATTCTCAGCCATTTCTATTAAATGCCCAGTATGTCATAGAAATGCTATAATTTTACTTTCTCAAAAAAATTTTATTTTTGGTATCTTGTCACTGTTTCCAAAAATATACACATATGCCATATACATAACTTTCTTTTGCCTTTTTTTGCTCTGTTGGCAAATGGTTACAATTTAGTGAATGAGCACCTTGTTACTAATAGAAGTCAAATTACTACTACTGTCTACATTGCAACACATCACATCACAGCATGTTCAGAGGTACATTTTTCAGTTGTTGAATAGCTTACATACTGTTATTATAATAAATTAATCCATTATTAAAAATTATTAAAAAACAAGTTTGGCATTTCTAAAGAATTAAAAAAGAAGGATTTGTGAGGGATAATGTGCTTTTAATTGTCACTATCAACTATCTTATTCATTAAATACATGACAACAGCAATTTCTGTCCACAATAATGCATAAAATGTAGACATTCTAGATGATAAATATCAGTAATACTCAACCATTTGTAAATAATCACCCACTTAATACTTAGTCATGTTTTAGCCAACGGAAATACTATCCCAGACAAGTTTGATGTCCTTTGAACTTTTAAACCAAGTTACCTTCAACAACTGTAATAGAAACCCTTCAGTAACAATGG